ATTCTTACAAAGACATGACGAGTTGCAACAAGTTCTGTCTTGATCTCCAACTGCACTGGAACAAGGACTGTAAATGTTCATAGCCATATTGGAATGTTCAGCATTCGTGCATCTTGATGGTGGTCTTAAGAATTTTAGTGGTGATGATACTTGTGGTGCTGCATCGATTCCTGAAATCTTCATATCTGCTTTTTTTTCGAGCCTCCTTGTTTTAAATAATTTTTCTTCATCACTGTCACTATAGTTGTGCCTTATGTACCATGATCAGATACATTAACAAAACAAAACATCATTTTAGTATAGTGCCAGGTCCAAACCCACAGGTTGTAATAGATCCACGAAATAATGTTGACAGTATGTGTTCAAAATAATTGCAAACAAACCTGTTTGATTCTTTAGCTGGATGACGGGCAATCATCGTCCTCATCTGTATGCCAGTCAGACATCACAGTTGCTTTTGGATGTTTCTATAATAAAACATCACATTGTTGTTAATCTCCCCCTAAGAAAAGTTAAAATTCTGAAATACTATCGAAGTTAATTAATGGTTTTAATACCTATGCTGTAAATAATCAGCACCCTGAAGGTTGCACAAGATTTATTCAGAGATTCATGCAGAGTGTCAGCCTTATGAATCTTAGACACAGATTTGTAAGATGGCTAAGCACATGCATGATTTCAGCCATGACTTGCATATACTGACCTCTTCTGTGCCAAGCGTGTTTGATCTTGCTAAAGGATCTTGTTGTGGACTGTCAAACAAACAAACATACAACATTTTATACAAATGTTTATCTTCACTAGAATCAATATAAACATTAATAATGACTTTTCAGAAAAAGCTTGAAATATATTATACCCAATTAGCATAAGACCAAAATTCTATTTAAAACCTAGACATTACTGGATGAATACAGATTCTTTTGATTTACTTTGAGTCAGATGAAAGCCAATAACAGTAAATGTTCTATTCACTTTGGGACACAATGCACAAACCAGTTTATGAAACCAATAGGAAAGAAGATTAAGTCAATCAGTCATGTTTCTTTAAAATAAGAAACGTTTTGGATCAGATAGTTGTGAGTTACTAAACACTGTTAACCTACCATTGTGGAAAATGTTTGATGATGATGATAGCTAATAACAATAAACCATTTCTGCCGTTTGTGAAGCAATTAGTAAAGTCTGAAAAGCTCAAGTATGTTGAAAATGTATCAGCAGTTTACAGTTTTTAACGGACTTTAGGCACCCAACTATCACATGCCTATCCACATGTTCATAAGAGCGTGCCATTGGCATCTTTTGTCTCTGTGATGTGCTGCAAAATGACCTCACAAACCTTTGTTAAACAGGAATAATAAGACTTAACCGAAAAAATATTGTTACCTATTCATTCAAATCAGAATTTATAACTGTCAATAACCAAAAAAAAAAAAAAACCCATCAAAATCTGCTTTCAGTTTTACATGCGCAAATTACAGTTTGAACATAAGATATAATTGATTCACATAGGCTAACACATATGAATTAAAGCACACACTAATATATTTCTCTTAGATAATTTAAAGACAATAGTAAACAGTGTCGGGTTTCGATCACTTTTCGTGATAAACAAGTTAAACAATAATATTGTATGAATCCAAAACGATTCAGTTTTATTTACACAATCACATAATACTTTTGGATAAGTACACGCCTGTAAATTTATTTTTTTCAACACTCGCGGTACTTTATAATGTTTAGTTAACTCAGAAGTTAAAAGCACATGTTAGTGTTAACAGATTCGTCTACAGAAACTAGCATACACACCAATTCGTTTTTAGTCATTTTTCTTTAAAATAATTTAAATAGTTTTCAGGTACTAAACACTGTTTCAACCTAACAAAGGAACAGGCACTTTCTCCCATTTGTATAGCAATTAGCTTCAGTCGTGTTTCTTCACAACAAGTTGCATTTCGTATGAAATCGTTTTAATATACTACACACTGTTACAACCTAACACTGTGAAAAATGTTTTAAGCAATAAATTTGCATAGTATACATGATACAAACAGTAAAAACCTTACCTTTCTGACCGGAATCCAATGTTAAAAACAAACTTCTTTTTCTTCTTGTAATCTTCGTGGCGGTTGGCAACCTGCTTTTTGGAGCTTTACCGCCACCACCTGGATTGGAGTTTGGATCAGGAGATTTTACGGTTGTCATCAGTTAAACAAGCCGAGTCCATGCCGAGTCCTTGCCAGAAGCGGCCCGGACTCTACAGACAGATGTGCCAGATGTGGTTGACCGGAATCGGGCCAGTGCTTAACAGCCGCATCCCAAACGCATGTGCGGGAGCGAGCTGCGGGCCAGACTCGGGCTGGATAATACTCGCCAATGCCGAGTCGGAGCCGGAGGCGCCGAGTCGGAGCCGAGCTCGGGCCAATTACTGCCTGCTATCTGGGTCTTTTAGTTGCAGCCGGTGAATGAACGAAGACACGTGTAACTTGGTCTCATTGCGAAAAAAACGCTCCTCTTTTCTGTCTCTCCCTCTTCTCTTCACACACACACATACACACACACACACACCAAACTGACCTGCACACGTGCTAAACAAAAACTTGTCGGGCTGTTTGTGATCTAATATGATTACTTGTTATTATCAACGCTTTGCTTGCCATGTGTTGTTGATGTAAGATTGTATTCAGTTTGATCGGCATATTCATATTGATTATAACGAGCGTGCGTGAGAGCTGTCACTGCGCGTGCACACACATAGATCTGATAGCCTTGAGCCTTCATAGATCAGCAGGGGAGAGCCTACGTGCACTGGTCACTGAATCCAGCATACGGGCCACACATTCTGTCTTTATATTCTGCTCTGTGTTTGTCATAAAGTCATCTGAGCTCAATGATCAGGTTTGTATCAAAATCTGACTCCAAGGGCAAATCTGCGCCCTCACAGCGGTTTATCATAAACTTTTCATCGATCATTTTCCCCGTGATTGACAGCAAGAACGAACATAGAAGAGTTGATGCTACATGTGTTCAAAATAATCTAAAATGCCAAATAGGGTGAATTTATGTCGCATTTTCTAAAATAAAACATTCTGTATCTAGCTTTTCACTTGTACAGTGGCTCTGAACTAGAGGTCTGCATTAGAGGTCTGCATAAATTTCTGAATAAATCGCGGGAGCGGTCGGTAACGGGTTTATTTTGGGACGGGAGCAGGCTGTCAAGCAATATCGCGGATATTGCAATGCGAATGAGAGAGAGGGAAAGCTTTGCCTGTGTGTGTACTTGGTGCTTGTGTGTTTGTATGTTAGTGCGCGCGCGAATGAAAGAGAGAGAGAGAGCTTTCCCAGATAGAAAAATACACTCGGGCCAGTTCCGGCTAGATTCTCGCCTGCCGGAGACTTACAACTTGGCCCGGCTCCGGCTGCCGGACTCGGGCCAGATGTTACTCCTGAGAGTAATGTGCACTGCGGCCCGGAGCTGGCCCGACTCAGTATTTATATACCTTTATATAAAACCTTTTGGTATTAGATTGGTACTTGATACATGGTATTACAACCCTTTGAGTTGATATAACAGCAAACGCCTGTGTGTCTGCTTGGTGCTTGTGTGTATGTTAGTGCACGCGCGCGCCTATGAGAGAGAGAGAGCTTTCTGTGTGTGTGTGTGTGTGTGTGTGTGTGTGTGTGTGTGTGTGTGTGTGTGTTTCTACAGACAGCTTGGCTGTCTGGACTGTATAGCTGGGTGATTTTCGGTTTTGTTCTCCCCCGCTTTTTAGCGGGAATTGTTGAAAACGGGACAACAAATTCTTAATATAAGCGGGAGCGGTCGGGTTCGGGCTAAAACCTGGCGGGTGCGGGCGGGAGCGGGATTCAAAATTTAGTCCCGCGCAGATCTGAACTGTCAAAAAAAGTTTTAGTCCTTAGCTCTTTCATTTTAAATTTGTTTAAAATATATTTAACTTGTTTGTTGATTAAATCCCATTTTGTTATTCAACCTTTTTAATTTTATGCAACAGTCAATTTGCATGTTCATTTGCTATGAAGAAAATAAAATTATGTATTTTTTGCATGCTGATTTATGTGAAATCGTGAATATAGGTCCATATAATCACCTTGCAATTTTGAAATCATAGCTTTTTTGCTTTGAGTATAGGCTATTCAGTTCAAAAGAGCTGAGTTTCAGCTTTTATGAAGTTTGCTGTATAAAAATATAAAATTTTAAATATTTGTAATTGTCGGCCAAAAAATCTATGTCGGTGCATCTCTAATATTTACCCCAGTACTGTCTAAATTTAACTTTTATATTTGCATATATTTTATTTCAAAATAATAAAATATATTAAGGGATGATATACACAGACACTATAAAAATTATTAAATGAAAACAGGAGTGTAATAACAGTCTAAAATAATTATCTACAATTGTCTGAAACTGTTCAACAACTTTACATCAGATCAACAACTCTTGATGACATTGTATTGACATTAGGCCTCGTGCACCTAATGATAGTTACATAAATTAAAATAATTACAATTTACGATAATTGTGGAAAAAAGAGAGAATACTTTCTTGTACGGAAATAAAAAAGACAATGCCAGAATATATATTTTCTGCCATCTTAAGACATTCCTCCATTCATTTGAGTGACATGTCCATACTCTCCTCAAATGCTGAAAATTAAAAGTATTATTAAATGTGTAATGAAGAACTCTAAACGTACAATAATTCATATAGTTATTGAGTACTGTAAAGTACTTACTTGAAGCAGAAGCATATCCACTCTTAATGGAATCTAAAACTCAAACAGAAGATTGTTTGTTAGAAAACATGTTGATTAGTTACTTTTACATTTTGGTTCCTGTTGTACCTGAACATCGTCTTTTCCTTGCAATTACAGCAGCTGCAACTCCAAACACCAACATAAGAGTTGAAACCACCAGAACTGAAGGAATCAGTGATTTAAATGGTTCACCATGATCAAAGTCTGCAACAAGAACCACAAACTGAGAGATTAACTTTAAATATTGATTTTTATTGTTATATTGTGGACTATAATGAAGATTTTATAACCCAAATCAACATCTAGTTTATTGTCTAGACTGAGGTGTTTAACAGAGCAGGAGTATTTGTGTTTCTCTCTCTCTTCTGCTCTGATCTCCAGACTCTTCCTCATCTGGTACGTCCCGTCTCCATTGGGCAGCAGATCTCCTCCAGTGAGCTCATGATCAGATACAGGCTGTCCATCTCTCAACAGGGTCAGGTTGATGTGACGAGGGTAAAATCCTGTCGCCAAACAACTCACAACAAACCATCCAAGATCTGAGGCTTTCTGAATGAGTCTGACTTGAGGCTTAACTGTTGATAAAAATGCAACAGAAACAGATCCTTTAATTTCAGTACACAGTGACCTGGAAAAAGCTGAAAGTAAATCCTAGTTTGACCTTTTCTGTTGACTTGATTCGTCCGTTTTTTAAGGTAACCCTTGAGTGTTTTAATGCAGTAGGGTTGGTATAAATATTCATGATTCCTCTTGCTGGCTTCAAGATGGATTTTTAGCAGGTTATCCGAGACATTTAAAGTACCCTGGTATGTAAACGTCTTGTCAAAATATTGCAATTCATCTGTGGTAGATCCTCTGAAAGCATCTCGTGTGATCATTTTTCCTGGTTCACCATCATCTTTAAGATCACAAACAACCAGCCTCTGAAGAACAAGAACTCCTTCAATGGAGAAATGGAAGTTTAAGGCAAAAAAAAAACAAGAAAAGTTATTAAAATTTTATAATAGATATAATATTGTGATACTTACCATGAGTTTTATTTATATTGTTTGTTCCTACGACCCATTTCTCCATGAAAGATAACTGAATGTTATTACTGATTTTGAGGAGAACGTTTGTCTCAAACACATCGTCTTCAGCTGTTGTGTTTCCTCTTGGAACGTAAGTTTTGGTTTCACCATTATAATAAAGAGTGCTAACATCATCCAACATCAGCACATAGCTAAACTCAGGAAAGGGTGTTTGTCCTTTAATGTACGTGGCAAGCAACATTAAAGAGTGAGGGCCTGCAAAATATATATATTTGAAAAAATATATAAAATGTTTCATTACAATGTTTACACTTTGTAATATATATATATATGACACAAAATGTTGCACCTAATAATTTGTAATATACTTATTTGTATCTTCTATACAGAACTCCAAAATAGCATATACCCTGATCTACTATCACTACACTCTCAAAAATTAAGGTACAGGAGCTGTCACTGGGGCTGTACCATTTCAAAAGGTACATGTTTGTACCTGAAAGGTCCATAATAGGCCTTTTTCACACTTCCTGGTTCCGGTAAGCGAAGCAGCGTCCCACAACATCCGGTTTCAATGCGACGGAGCAAGAAAGAATGGCAGGGTCATCTCATCGCTGTGATTGCTGCGTTCCCAGCTGCTCCAACTCAAAAACGACACCCATACTTTAATGACCACGATCTCCCGAAAGACGCGGGACAGAGAAAATCATGGATGACATTATTAGAGGGGTTGAATGTCGTTTCAAGTTATATGCAGGAGTACATTCGTATGCTGTATGCACTTCAAAGCGGAGATGATCATGTTTTATCAAAGACTGGTGGTCTTAGTTTTTTTTTGATGAGTAATTATAATATAGACAAAACTCCAGTTAAGCTATCTGCCTTCCACAAACAAGTGCTCATCATGGTCATTAATCTATAAGCATGATTTCTCCCTACATTGTTGTTATTTTGGAATAATAGACAGTTCATACAAATGCAAATCTCTTTTCTTAATTGGTTTGACAGCAAAATTATTTGTTTAGTCAGTTATTTAATAAAGATGGTATACTTTTCTTAAAATGAAGTCCTTTCTCATTACAAAATCTCAATAACCCAGCAAGTTTTCAACTGTTATTGGTTCAATTCCTTCAGTTATTCATTCATGTTATTTAGAGGTATTAATAAGACAATCCTTCTGATGCATCGTCTTTTGATATTACTAAATCTTATGTCTGTAAATTTTGTTTTACTAAATACCAAGAGGAATGATAGAGCTATTCATACTCTTTTCCGAAAAGAAATTACTGTACCTTATATTCATTTTTATTGGATGTCTTTATTAAAGGGTGAATTGAAGAAAAGTGTGGCTGTTACCACAGAAATATCATGTTAGAAATAGAAATAAAGAAATGTCCTATAAACTTATCCACAGGTTTTATCCAGCAAAACATTGTTTGCAAAAATTTAAAAGTGGGATTGATGTAAATTGTATTTTTGTAATGAATATGAGGAGATGGTTTTACACTTATTTTAGCATTGTACATAGCTTATGGGGTGAGCTGCAAAATGTATTAATAACAATTCTTTTGTGTTCAAAACCTCTTTCATCATTATGGAAAAATGTACAATGGGCTTTACTTGATTATCCTAATCTAAAGGAAAATAGTTTTATTTATGTAATTTGATTATGTTGTTAACAAAATTGTACATTCATACATATAAATTTACTTATATGGAGCCAGATTTTAAGGTATTGATGACTGAAATATGCTTGTATAATACCAGTATCAACTCTAAACAAGAAAGCTCGACCCACTTTAAAATGTGTGAACTCTACAATGTATTTCATTATTACATATATTACATTTTGATTATTTGTATTTTATTTATAATTACCCCCTGGTATGTACATTTTTGTATTGTAAAATGTTATTTGCTAGTCTTCAAATAAATTATAAAAATGAATATTATCCAAGAGTAGGAGCTAACAACCTGTAATGTATATGGGGCTCCCGCATTAACCGATAGCAACTCGCCTGTACAACTACCTCGCCATTCACTATATCTGACTCTGAATAAAAAGGAAGGAGGGGGTTAGCACAGTTTACAGACAAGACTACTGACATTAAACTCATCCTGCTGGATGTTAAATAGCCTAGTTAATCCTGTTTACGAATGGCTTGAATGAACAGATTCTATGCTGTTGGCTGTGCACCTTACTGGAACCTGACGTTGCAAGCGCTGTGTGTAAGACACGTTTTCTGCACAAATTCTGCAAATCGGTATCATCTTTTAAATGCTGTTTAATTTAGGCAGTTTTACACATTCACCGAACAACATCTTCCTGTCCAAATTATGGCAAAGTTGACCGTGAGAAAGTCATCTGCTGTCCCGAAGCTGTCATGTCTCTGTGACTCCTAGCGTAACCGGAAATATCGATACACTGCTTGGAAGGGCGCTTCCGGTGTTCAATTCCACTGTGAAAAAGGTCTATGGTACCTCAAATATACTTTTTAGGTACAATTGGGCACTATGCACCTTTGAGGTTCCACTGTGGACTCTTTGTGTAGAAATATGTATCTTTTGAAAAGGTACCGCCCCAGTGACAGCTCCTGTACCTTTATTTCTGAGTGTAACTTAAGAAATACCTGAGTTTTGCTTCCTCCCAAAATTCCCTACTGAATCAACAGGTCTTATGCAAACTGGAAACGTTTGGAGCAAATAAACTTAAATCAGGAAGTGAAAGCAACCATGCAGAATCATAATAGGTCATAAGTTTTAATTTGGCCTTCTGCAAATTAGTTTTTAAATCATATGATTAAATGCGTTAGGAAAATAAACATCATCTGATATAGTTTTCTCTGCTTCTTCAATATAAATACCTTTATATTATACAAATCCATTATAAATGTCTTACACAAATGTCCATTCATAGAGTTAAAAAAAACTGTATGGGTAAAAAATTAAGATATGACGTTCTGTTTTCTAAAAACAATATAGTGAATTTTATGCTTATAATGCTACTCTATATATCATGTCAATTAGATATGGAAATTTTTCCAGTTAAAAAAAAGTTTAAATACTTGTTTTTAGCAATCATACACTCTTCATTTTCTTTTTTTTACAGATAATTTCACAGAAGATTTGTTATGTGATTTTGCTTGTGTCATTATATGTCATTATTTAAGAATCTTCATGTTTTACTGCAGTTTGTAATAGACAATGGTATAAAATTCATTTGAAAAAAATTGTGAATAGTTATATTTTCTATTTTCAAAGTTTGAAATGTTGCTAACAAAATGCATATGCTATTTACAGTTAAAGTCAGAATTATTGGCCCTTCAGAATTATTAGCGCCCTGTTCAATTTTTTCCCAATTTCTGTTCAACGGAGAGAAAATTTTTCTAAACACATTTCTAACATAATAGTTTTAATACCTCATCTCTAATAACCAATTTTTTTTTATCTTTGCCATGATGAAAGTACACAATATTTGACTATATTTCTCAAGACACTTCTATACAGCTTAAAGTGAAGTTTAAATGCTTAACTAGGTTAATAAGGTTAACTGGGCAGGTTAGGGTAATTAGGAAAGTTATTGTATATTGATAATTAGTTCTGTTGACTATCAAAAAATATATATAGTTTAAAGAGGCTAATAATTTTAACCTAAAATAGATTTTAAAAAATTCAAAACTGCTTTTATTCAAGTTGAAATAAGACAAATAAGACTTTCTCCAAAAGAAAAAATAGTATCAGACATACAGTAAATTTTTTATTGCTCTGTTAAACATCATTTGGGAAATATTTAAAAAATAAAAATTCTGACTTCAACTGTATAGGCTACATTTAAATTTAGATTAAAAAGATATACTGTGGGTGCCCTTTAATTTATTCCTTAAATTTAATTCGCTAGGCCTAAAAATATTGCATTAACTTAATTTTAAGAAGACATTTTTAACACATAGCCTATGTCCAAGTCTTTTGAAATCTTACCTTTTGGAGCAGCAATTGGAAGCGAAATCAGAAAAAAAAGAATGTTGTTCATATTTCTGAGCTTCATGCTGTTTTCATTCAGCACTCACCTACCAGCACTGTCTTGTTCTACATAACGTAGTTAGCTATTATTTTTAGCTGTTAATGTTTTGCTAACAGTCATGAGAAACGATGACTTCACGGTTAGCCTTCACGTAAACAGACAATGACTTCAGATTCTGAAATTCCTTTCTAACATTATACAAATACAAAGATAATACAAATCGTGATATACTTTCCTAACTAATGGTTTAACAATATGATGTAGTTGTTGTTTCTTCATGTTAGAGTGTTAGAGTGAAATTTATCGATTTTTTCCCCTTTTTTTAGACGCTGAAAAAAATTGTTGAAATAATATAAGATGTACTAAAATATAAAAAAAATCGCCTTTATTAGGTTCAGAAAAAAAACGCACAACTACCTTCTTTTCACTTCTCTGGAGTTTAGCAGAAAACATTGTAATTGATGAATGACACACAATGGCGCCAGATATGTGAGACAAAAGCGAGTCCGTGGTATCACACGTTCTGTGAAACAAAGTCAACCATGTGAAATATCGACTAACCAATAAATAAATTATTCTTTACTTTTTGTCCTCCAAGTTTCCACCTTTATAAAGCAAGAGTGGACAAGTTTAATTTATAGACATATATCTAAAAATAAATAAATAAAAATGATGCTAGGCAATCTTTGGACCATAAAATGCCTTTACTTTCCCTTTTACGTTTGTCTGAAATCTTTAACCTTGACTAACACTGGCCAAAAACCAACTCACAGAATACACAACACTCATCAAATATATTAAAATATGTATTAAAATACCCATTTACTGGTAAAGTACAGAAAAGAAAACTCTTCAGACAGCTGATCATTAGTAGATGTGTGCTATAAGTTTGTTATTTGAGTTGTTTCTCCTCCCATCCATGTTAATAATCCATTATTCAATAATAATAATAATAATAATAATAATACAAAAATACGTTTTATTTTAAGGCTCCTTTCTGGTAACTCAAGCACACCGTACAATAAAACAAGGGCTATAAACCAACAACAGTTTTATTCATGAGAAATGCACAGCTTATTAAATGAGTTTCACTGTAATAGCATTAAGACATCAGCAAAATATGAAGAACAAAAGCATAATAGTTTAAGATTACAATAAGTGCAACAGACAAGTAGACATGTTGGTTGTCTAATCAAGTCAGATGTCAGTCGGTTTACACACGGATTTTGATTCCAACCTAAAAAGAAAATGCAATGATAAAAACAGAGATACTGCTTCACTAGAAATGTGTTTTTATTGGAGGACAGCATGGGGAAGTACATTTATTTTTTAAGATTATGATTTATTAATCATAGGATCATCATTCATGTTGTTTCAGCATGTTCTTCAGATGCTGAAAATAAAAGAATAAGTGATTATTCTTGACTATGCAAAAATATGTGTTTTTTATTATTCATATACTTTAAAATGATAATAAGTTTTACTTACTACTAGTAGCAGAGTAATCACTTTTAGAAGAATCTACAAAATCAGAAAGTCAAGTATTATTAAATGCCCTTACAAAAACAAATGAACCCAATTATCACTGTTTCACATAATTCTACCTGCTGGTCTCTTTTTGTGTTTATAAATAACAACTCCTGTTACCAACACCAACACTAAAGCCAAAACTATCAGCACTGAGGGAATCACAGATTTATATGGTTCACCAGGATCAAATTCTGAAATAAACATAAAAAAGATCACAAACAGATTGCAAACAAAGCACTGTTGTATGTTTTTTTTTCCACATTATCCAATATAACATCTAGTTTGTTGTCTAGACTGAGGTGTTTTGCAGAGCAGGTGTATTTGTGTTTTTCTCTCTCCTCTGCTCTGATTTCCAGACTCTTCCTCATCTGGTACGTCCCGTCTCCATTGGGCAGCAGATCTCCTCCAGTGACCTCATTATCAGATACAGGCTGTCCATCTCTCAACAGGGTCAGGTTGATGTGACGAGGGTAAAATCCTGTCGCCAAACAACTCACACGAAAACCTTTCTGGAAGAGCCTGACTTTGGGTTTGACTGGAAACACAATTTCAGCATATCTTGGCCTGAAATAAAAGTGTAAAGTGTAAATGACAACACTTGTTTTACTTTATTGGCTGGAAGTTGGTGACCTTACCTTTTCTAATGACTTGATTTCTCCTTTTTACAAGGTAACCAGGGCTGGACTGGGGCAAAAAATCAGCCCTGGCATTTTGGGCAAGAGCGGCCCACTAAATTCAATCAAAATGCTATCTATCTATGCACGTCCAATATTTTTATCAACTCATATTCTATAAAACACAAAAGCCATACATATATGAAATAAATAAATAAATAAATACAAACTTTAATCTCAATTTAATTTCTGTATACTGTCCATAAAGATATTTGTTGAGTTCTAAAAAATACACTATTCATTCATTTATTTTTCTTCGCATAAGTCCCTTATTTATCAGGGGTTGCCGCAGTGGAATGAACTGCCAACTATTCCAGCATGTTTTATGCAGCAGATGCCTTTCCAGCCACAAGCCAATATTGGAAATCACCCATACACACTCATTCACACAAACTCATACACTACAGCCAATTTAGCTTATTCAATACACTATTCACTCAGCCTATATTCAATAATAAACATAACAAAAACTGCCTGCTAATGCATGGCTAAATCTTCAAAGGGAACAGTGTTACTTTTTAACCTCTTTTATCTCATCCTGCTTGCTGTTTCACTATCTAAACAATGAAAACATAATATAAGGAAATTTGTTTCATTTTGATATTATGATTAACAGACACCAAACAGCCTCGTGTAGATATATATTTATATAAGCATCATTTTCACTCTGCATATTTATAACAGGGCTTAAATATAATTGCCTTCTATCATTTTCATTGAAAAGAATGAACTTTACCCAGTCTCTTTTGCAGAATATCAGTTTTAATAATGGCCATTATAACAGCATACGTACATTAAATTTAAACGATAAAGGTAAGCAATCAGTCAATGTGCAGAATCAGTGTATGTGGTTACATAAATTAATATATTAGCTTATCTTTGCACTCAGCCAAAACAGTTAACTGAGAACAAGTGATTCAAAAGACATAAGAGTTGTTAGATAGAGATAACAAGAGGAATTCAATATCACGTTTAACAACTATGAGACCATCCAGCAGATGAACTGTCTGACATGCACTATACTCTCACCTGGGGTTTATGCTCACCCGCTGAACTACTGGGTGCAGCTCTTGGCAGAGAGTGTGTGGTCACTTGATTTGCGTTTTAGCCGTGTACTAGAATGAACAGAGAACTTTTCAGAATCACTAAATGAAACGCCGGTGTATTTCCCGCAATTTCTCTGCGCCTCCCTTGCGTTTCTTCTCTCTGACTCTCGACTATTTTGACAAATACACACAGACGACGCACGCTCACACGGAGTCCAAAATAGGAGTTTGTGATTGGGCCAGCCCAATGTCAATACCGAAAAGAGCCAATGGGCTGCAGAGTGTCACATGGGCCGGCCCGGTCTGTCTGTCCGGGAAAAAAGCATCTACTTTCAGAGAGTCACAAATCACAGCAGCGTCAATTAATAAGGCAGAAAAAAACGATAGGCTGCTAAGCCTTTTATGGGCCGATCAGATCATAAGACGATGATCAGCCCGGCCCAAAAAGTACGTCGGCCCACCGGGAAAGTGCCCGGTCTGCCAGATGGCCAGTCCGCCCCTGAAGGTAACCCTTGTATTTTTTTTATTTTTATTTTTTTGTATTTTGAAACACAGTGGTTTGAATAAAGTTTCATGAAGAACTTTTGTGAACTCAAGCCCGATCTTTAGCTCATGAGCGGAGATGTTTAAATTATGATAGTATGTAAACTTCTTGTCAACATCTCGCAGCTCATCTGTGGTGGATCCATCGAAAGAATTTGAAATCATTTTCCCCCATTCATCATTGTCCTTTAGTTCACAGACAACCAGTTGCTGACGAGTAAAAACACCTTGAAAAGCGAGAGAAGGAGAAAGTCTTTGGAGTGTTTATTTTAAAACAATTACATCTGCAAACAATTGCACATCCCAGGTAGCAAAGAATTCTGGCCCAGATTTGGCATGAAGCTTACACAGTAGGCATTCATCTGGCACTGGTATACAGCATGTGGTCCAAACATGGCCCTGGTTTGGCAGAGGTGGCACAGTTTTTAAGGCGGCGCAATACTTAACTCTTCTGTCATGTTCACATCCATTTACTTTAGTGTTCCCGGTCAAAATTTGTTTTAACTACTCTTAAATTACAACAAAAAATACATTTTTTACCACCATTTTTTTTTATTTAACATTCTTTAGCTGTGAACAATGTCTAAAATGGAGTTTAACGGGAATTTATAAAATTAGACGAAAAATAACTGCATTGAAAATACAAATAGGCAATGGAAATGTTTCACAAAATTGTCAACAGATGACAGAAATTAAAATACTTTGTTTCATTACCAATAACTGTCACAGTGTCTGACTAAAGAAATAAAAATTTTAATCCATCTGAATGATTTATCAACTACCAAAGCACAAACAAAATTGTATCTTTTCCTATGTACTGAGATCTCAAATTTTCATTCAGTCCTCAAATTGGCCTATATAAGTATACTAATGTTGGGAATAGTGACTGTGAGAAAGAAAGAAAGAAAGAAAGAAAGAAAGAAAGAAAGAAGCTAATTCATATGAATTCGTACGATCTCATTCATAAAATTTAGTACAATGTGCTTATCCTCACTAATGGTTGGGTGCCACACCTCCTTTTTAAAAGCATATATTTTCGTCTGATTGGACTTGTACAATTGTACTTGTACAATTGTACAAATTAGCCACTAAACTGACAAAACATAAGGTAGTTATGCTTCCTTATAAGATCAGGCTGGAGGATCAGCACATAAGTACAGAAAAAAATATGTGTACCTGCACAAGACATTATGGAGTCAGATAAGACTCAATTATAATTCACGCAAAAGACACGATGTTCACATGCGTAGCCAAATTCACATGAATAAAACCAAATTCACATGCGTAAAATCTTTACTTATATTCACAAAAAAATTTCACGTGCTCAAAATAAAAATACATTTTCATAAAATACGTTTCACAAATGCATTTTCACAAATCCTCACCTGAGTAAATATCTTTTTTTTTCAGTTTCATTCAGTTTCTAATGACACTATCATGTCTTTTTCAAGAAAACAGCTGCTTTAGAACTTTAAATGTTCAACAACCTTACAATTTTATATGTCTTAACAATAAAAAAAAAAAAAAGATTTTTACTCTGGTGATGATCGAACACGAGTCAAAGGACGTGGTAACACAACGTGCTGACTGCTGGACCACAACGGCACTGCTATGCTTGTGTGGCTGGAATAATACTTAATCTTCTTCATTACCCTGCAGTCTATATTTTGCTCATGGGGCTGCGAGACAATAAATAAGAAGAGCAGAGCTGCAGCAAAATAATGGATAAAAGGACAGAGGCTATAGTCAAATAAATAAATAAATGAAAAAAGTGAGACTGCTGCTTTCTCCGTTCGCCATGCTGGAGAGGAACAGTCTGCGCAAATAGAGCGCAGAGTGGGTGTCATCGACTACAGCTCTCATCTGATTGGCTGAAAGGTACGAGTTGCCCTGCCTCTGGCAGGAAAGTCTCAAAAATACACACACACTATCCAGGGGGAGTCGTACGTGAAAGAGGATTTGCACATTCTCATTCCGGATGAACTCGTAAGTTTTAAACATTCAAAACTTTTTGTACACTCTTATACATTTGCAAATGGTGTTTTGCATTTGTGAAACGTATTTTATGAAAATGTTTTTTTATTTTTTGCACGTGAAATTTGTTTGTGAAAATAAATACATATTTTACACATGTGAATTTGATTTTATGCACGTGAATTTGGCTACGCATGTGAACATTATGTCTTTTGCGTGAATTATTATTGAGTCTTATCTGACTCCATACGTAAATCACTGAAGCATGTGGGCCAAGCAAAAGTTAATTGTGTGGGCAAGAGCTGGGCCAGATATATTTTGCTATGTGTAATGTTGTAATTGAACCGTTTTGATCCAATTCAAATGGATATTTACTTGACTACAGCATTAAACAGTACTTACCTTCAGTTTTATTTGCGGTTTTTGTTGGTAATCCCCATCTGCCCTTAAAATATGAATGTAAATAGCCATTAATGGTGAGGAAAGCATTTGAATCCATCACATCATCTTCAGCTGTTGTGTTTCCCCTTGCTATGAGACTGTCTGTATCACCGTTACAGAACACTGACATTATCCAACATCCCTACATATCTAAATTTAGAAAATAGTGTTTGTCCTTTAATGTATGTTGCAAGCATCCATAATGAGTGAGAGCCTGTGGGGAAAAAAATGGAAAGATCACTTTTTGTAAATTCTTTTTATTTTTGCCAGATGGAAATCTGCGTGCTTATCTTTATTGGATCATAAGTTTCTTTGCAACCAGGAAATGCTATATTGTACAGTATTTCTGTCAGATTTGAACCATAATTTATTTTAGTTTTTTGGAAATAAAAAACTGATATGAACTCTTTTTTTGTGAATCTTACTCTTTTAAAGAAGCAGTTGGAAGTAAAAACACAAAAAGCAAAAAAAAAGTTGCTCATATTGCGAGCACTCTTTGAAAGACACTTTTTGAAACAAACTCTCGCTCCACCTTGTGTGAAGTGTGTTGTGAGCTTTCCTGATTTTCTTGTTTAACTGGTTTGTAAAAATGACAGCATATGAAAGTAAAAAAGTTGTTTAAATAGTGTACATAAACTTATGATAACCATTATAATCAAGTGATTTCTTGAGATAAATGCTTACTGTTTGTTATGTTCGGATATGTAAGATGTCTGCCATTAGACCGGTTTTAAGAAAACAAAACTCTTATATTCTATGCGCTAAAAGTAATCTAATTATGTAAAATTCACTGTAAACAATAAAACAAAATGTCAAGGTTCACTATGAAGTGTCTGAAATAGAAGTAGATGACAAGATTCACCTGTTTTGTTTTTTGGTTGTTCACTTTTTCATTTCTGGCAATAATTTGTCCTGTAATTGTGAGTTAAGTTGGCATCAATGTCATACAAAAGGTTTTTGTTTTTGTTGTTTGAAAGATTGGTACAGTTAACATTTATATTTACATTTATTCACTGAGCAGATGCTGTCATCCAAAGTGATTTAGAAATGAGTGAAATGTGTGATATATATCTTACTTTGTAATCAACAGTCACTGTTTAAGCAGGAAATCAAAAGGAAATGCGGATGGACACAAACTGAACTCAAAATGAAAACAACAACAACATCTGTAATAGTGTTTCATAAAGTTATTGATTTTATAAATAAAAAAATTGTCAGATATAGTTGTTAAACCAAATGCATACATTAGACAGATAGCAATAACACGTTTACACAAATTTCAAATAATTATTAATAAAAAACTGTAAACACGTTTCTTTGTGTTTTTATTTAGGTGTAAAACCTACTAGAAGCACATTGTTCTGTTTGCTACTTATGGCTTCTAGTTACACTATTTGTGATCTTCATTTTTTTTCTGTGTGCTTTTGTTATTGATACTTTATCCTTTAGTATAAAACTTGTATCAATTTTGTGAAAAAGGAGTAAAAATTGGCTTGACTTCTTGACCTTGCCTTTGACATTTGAATCCATGCTAGAACTAACAATGATCAACCACAAATGCTGACTGACAGATATACTGTAGCATTACAAACTAATGAGGCTCAACAAGTAAGCTAAAGTGAAATAGTGTAGCTTCAATTCTCTTTGAAAAATAGTGCAGTTTAATCACTTTCTTTTACTTTTGTCCCTGATTTACCAGGGGTCGCCACAGCAGAATGAACTGCCAATTACTCTGCCAATTGTTTTACGCAGCTGATCCCCTTTCAGCTTATAAATAAAACCTAAATTGTGAAATGTAATAAGGAACCAAATGCTATGGGTTCACACCACAATGTAAAAGTGGCAAGAGTTTCCCTCAAACTAAACATAATTGTAGAACAGTGTTTTATTTCATTTATAGTATTACTCATTATATGTACAAGCTAAACCTTTTAAAGAAAATTTTACCATATTATAGAACAAACTATAAACATTTTTACTGGGCTGCATTCACACTTAACAAGGCAGTAACAATGTCCCATATAAGCAATTGCACTGCATAATCTATCGCTGTCGCTATCAACTGACTGATCGACTGATTACCCTAACCACCTTCTTCCCTAAACCAAACCAATAGTGTTTTCAAAAGCATCAATTGACCTGCCCACCGCCTTCCCTAAACCCAAACCAAGAAATCAAGAAAAGAAAAGCCATCATGGCCGTGTGATTTTTTTTTCCATGTTTTCAGATTTTACAACATTCTCACCCTGTTATTTACTTCATTTTATTTTTTTCCTTTTATTTTTGTAAGGTAAGCAGTCACCTGGTAGAGCAAAAAGAAACAGAAGCCATCAGTGGCATCATACCGCCTTGCAGTGGTCATTTTAAAGACAAAATGCAGCCATACATACCTCTGGCTACAAAATTTGCGCTCTCCAGAAATGTATACGGGGGTACGTTTTTCAGCCTGTGTTGTTTTGTGCACTTGAAATGTATAAATGTATAAATAAAGTTCAAATCCCAGCTTGAGGACATTTCCCGTACCTACCCCCTGTCTCTCTCCCACTTCACTTCCTGTCTATATTACTCTCCTATCTACTTAATAAAGGCTAAAATAAATCTTTAAAAAAAATGCATAATACAAAACTGAAATAAGACATACTAAACATTTTGGACCAAAATTTCCACAAAATTATAGTGGGTTGACTATACTGTCATAGAAAATTACTAGATCACATCCACATTGTAGAAGTAGCAGTGGAACATCACACATATAAAAAAAAAAAACTGCACTACACCAATTGTACAACTTTGTGCACTGGCAGTGATGTTTTGATGTCTCACAGTGATGAATCTTAAAGGGGTGGTCCACAGTATATTTTTAAGGCTTGGTTGCGTTTATAAGATGCAAAGCAATGTGTGCTCAAGCTTCATTTGTAGAAAATTATGTTATTTGTTCATATATCTTACTTTGATTATATACAGCTAATCTGCTAACATTAAAACGACCCACCCTCAAGAGGCTCTGATTGGTCAGCTAACATAATGAGCTGTGATTCGCGGATCGGCTTTCAGTGCATCTGGCCATGTCTCTTTTCTGCGCAAGGTGTATGCTTGTAACCTGAAGGTTTTATGACATCATTAACCGGATGTATTTTTTTGTTCACTGTAGGCTTTGCTAAGCTAACTCTGTAAAAGCCAATGTCTCCCTTTGCATTGAACTTTGAACATATTATATTCAGATGTTGTTTATGTTCACACAGCTACATTACACATCAACTAAAGTTTAAAATATGATATCAACGCGGACCATCCATTTAACAACAAGGATGGTTTGACAAAGACTGCTTGAGTGCGTCCCATGCAATTGCCATGAGTACGCGCTGGATGAAATCAAACATATAGGCAAGTGATTTGGGGTAAATGAAATAAAGTAGACAACATGTTGCTTTAAACTGTTGTTAAATCCCTGGTGTTGTATGGCAGTTTCAAATTACAACACGCCTTAATATGTTTATTGAAAAACCCTGTTGTACAATGCACTGATGTTTTGCAAAAATGATGCATAAGAACATAAAAAGTCTAAGGCACTCAAAAAGTAAGTGAAAAAGTTACAAGCATTTATTAAAGGGCACCTATGGTAAAAAAATCTACTTTTCAAGCTATTTGGAGAAACATATGTGTATATATAGTGTATAGACCATAATATTGGGGTGATATAAACACGCCCAGTCCTTTTTTTTTCAATTTAACAACATAAAAACGGTGAACCAATTAGAGCGGTTTTCAGACCGACCGCAACTTTACGTAGGAGTGCGGTCCACCCGCTCACCGAATTGATTGACAGCTGCGCGCATTAACATGTACCGGTAGTCACGTGTATATGTCAACAAGACCAGGCAGACATACGCAAAGCAACCGGGAATAAAAGGTCTGTTCTGTTCGCTAGGATCAGCAATCATCATCAAATGTGATTGAGAGTAAGTTTCACCTGTTTAAAGTGTTTTAAAACAGTAGCACGTGTGTAATTATTTACAGCGATTTACTTCAGCTTTACTTCATCAGCACAACCGCGTGTCAGAAAAATTATAAAAGAAGACGCTTCAATCCCGGTTTGTGGAAGTTCAATCAGGTTTATTTTGTACATTAGCATAACAGATATCCACACAGCAGTGGAGGTTAGCCTGTATCCTGTCACACTTGAGTGCAAAAACAGTGCTAAGCGCGCTCTGTCTGTCTGCCTGCCTGTGTGTGTGTGCGTGAACTTTGTAACGATATTGTGTGTGACTCATCAATGCAACTTCACAACAAATTCTGATTAGTATAGATTAGTTCTTACTGTAGTATTTCTCACAAACGCTACAAGAGACCTTCTTCCTTTAACTCTGTCTGTTGTCTGATGCAGCCGAGGGAGGAGATTAAAGCACGCGGAAAGGCACGTAGAAACAGTAGGCGGCCAGAACTCGGCTTAAAGGTGCAGTACGACAAAACCACCCCCTGCTGGAAATGTGTATAAAACAGCATCTTGTAAAAGGTATAATGAAAAATCTGATGGGTGTTTTGAGCTGAAACTTTATATACACATTCTAGAGACGCAAAAGACTTATATTAAATCTGAAAAAAGGGGTAACCTATGTGCCCTCTAACATGGCTTTTGTTAAAAAAAAAAAAACATCACGCACTACATAAGAACACATTTAACATTAGAAAAAGCCTACGGGATCTCTCAACGCACTGATGTTGTTAAGCAGTTTTAAAATATGAACATGGTTAATTGTAGGACAAATCTCTGTGTTTTATGATGCAAAACTACAAAATATAGCCATACAAAGTTAAACAGTTAAGGTTTAATAGTCATTCGTACAGTACACTGACTCCCCTGCTGACATGAAAATTGTAATGTGGGGAAATTAATGTATTTTTGGACAGAGTATATTGATTGTAAGGTTAATAATAATCTTCGATGACTAAATGACACTTCAATGACTAAATTGACTATTCAATGACTATTATGAAGGAGACTAAAATATGACTAAAACTGTGGTATTTTAGTTATAAGAATAAGACAAAAACTAAATCAAAACTTGCTGTCAAAATTAACACTGAATTAAGGTAAATGACATTTCAAGAGTTTACACAAAGCTTGGTAGGCATGCTGTCCTGGAAGAGAGCCCTGAGCTCATAAGATCCTCGAGACTGTGGCTCCCTCCAGTTTGCAGGACGAGAGGGGAGTTTGAGCTCAAAATTAGTTAACATATAAACTTCACTAAAAATAATGTTATAATATTAAATATTATCATTAAAATATAATAATATTTAATTGTATTATTAAACTAAAAGATTGACGCAGAAAGACTGATAATGAACCATCCAAAATTGTCAGGTTTTCATTTACTTCATGTTTCACTGATTTAAGTAGCTTCCTGTTGTGGTTGTGTTACTGTTGAGCCAGTGCTTTCTTCAGACGCTAAAAATGAAAATCATTTATTTAAATCAACTTAATGTGCTAAAATGAAAACCAATATGAAATTATTTTAATGAGAAATAATTTTAGTAATCACATACAAAAATGACAAAAAATAGATTACTCACTTGAAGCTGAAATATAATCCCTTTTAGATGATACTATAATACGAAGGGAAGTCAAATAAATTATCATTATTAAAAATGTGCTTGATTTTGCTTTAAAAAAAAATTCTCACAAAGTAGAACCTACCTGCTCGTCTTTTCCTGCATTTATATATGACAACTCCAGTTATAAACACCAACACCAGAGACAAAATTATCAGCACTGAGGGAATCACTGATTTAAATGGTTCACCAGGGTCAAAGTCTGCAACAACATAATTAAAAAGGTCACATCAAACAGATTTTGTGATATGTGTTGAGTGTTTTAAGCATTTACACCTTGTTACCAAATGTGACGATGAGTTTGTTGTCCAGACTGAGGTGTTTTGCAGAGCAGGTGTATTTGTGTTTTTGTCTCTCCTCTGCTCTGATCTCCAGACTCTTCCTCATCTGGTATGTCCCGTCCCCATTGGGCAGCAGATCTCCTCCAGTGACCTCATTTTCAGATACAGGCTGTCCATCTCTCAACAGGGTCAGGTTGATGTGACGAGGATAAAATCCTGTCGCCAAACAATTCACACGAAAACCTCCAGAGTCTGAGTTTGCTTTCTGAAAGAGTCTGACTTTGGGTTTTACTGTTGATGTAACAATACTTGTTATTGATATATGTCTTTTTTTTTTTTTTTACTATCCTGCAGATAAACATCTGTGAATATTACATGGTGGAGACCAACCTTTTCTATTTACTTGAGTTTGTCTCATTTTAAGGTAATTCCTGAGAGTTGAAATGCACGTTGGGTAGCTTACACTCTCATGACGCCACTTGATTAGCTCCAAAGCCAGACTTGGCATTTCTTTTTGGCTTTGATATGTAAACTTGTTCTCATAAATACTCATTTCATCTGTTGTGGAGCCACTAAATGCAATCTTAGAAACCATTTGGCCTGGCTTGTTATTGCCCTGTAGCTCACAGTGACTCATCATTTGATAAAGTTGAGGACCTGTCAGAAAAAATTCACAAAAATTAATAGTCACTGTCTGCATAAGAGTATTCAATACAAATCCCTTTAAATCATTTATCCACCAGACTTGAGTGAATGTATAGGGGACAAAACAATAACAGTTCCCTGAGACACACTTCTGCTACATAAGCATGAAAGAAATTAAATGAGAAAAAAAATCAGTGGACAATGTTTAAATCACCTGCTCCCTTCAAAATCTTTTATTCCAATGGGCCCTTTAAAGTTCCCATATAGAAAAGTGACACATGAAAATATGCAAATGACATATATCAAATAGAATTTCATATATGAATTTCACATATTTAAAATATATGTAATTCATGCATATATTCCAAAGTATTGCATTGACTGCAGCCATGTTCGGCTTTCCGAAAAGGAATGCAGCCATTTCCTGAGCAAAAAAACAATCCATGAAAAGTATCCACACAACATTACTTCTGTTAAAATTCTGAGGTGTGTCTCTGATGTGTACTTTAACTTGAGGTTACATGAGATTTGTAATTGCAAATGCCACACCCCAAAGACCCTTTATAGAATTAAGATCACTCTCAGCAGTCGCAACTTTTTATTTATTCATTTATGTATTTGACCATAGCCTCTCTCTTTATTCATTATTTTACCGCATCTCCGCTCTTTTTATCTCCTCGCACCCCAATGAGCAGAATGCACTGCAGGTTAATCATAATTATTATCATTCGACTCCCACACAGGGTTGTTGCTAGATTGGATACGTTTGCGGCTAGAAGTTAACAAGAATTATTTCTATTATTTATTAAATTTCTAATTTATTGTAATTTATTAATATCTACCCACACCCTAAACCCAACCATCACAGTAAGGTAAAAACAGTAGTTGTACCATCTATTATTTATGTTATCTATGAAATTACCCAATAAATTGTATTTTTTTAACGCCTACACCCATCCCAACCATCACAGTACTGTAAAAATATTAATTATTGTTATACAGTGTCATAAAAAAATGCCGTTATATTAATGTGTATATCCGATCTACTTTACCTGCACCTTGCTCCTCAGCAAAATAATTTTTAAAGAGATATGCGAAAGATGAAAAATGGATAATAAAAAGCACAAAGGAGGCACTGAAAAGGCCAGAAGTCCATTTTTCATTAAAACCAGCGGCAGCGAGAGTACAACAACACACAGAGACCATGAAACGACCGGTAAATTAACCTTAAGCTGATTAGGAGCAGTGCAAAACAACGATGTCTGCAAACCAGTGGCGGATTTAAGGCATGGCCAATATGGGCGATCGCCCAGGGCGGCACCTTGCTAGGGGCGGCACGAGGATATGGTGCAAAAGAAAAAAAAAACAAAAGCATGCCTGGTAAAAATCATATGTGCCTCAGTATGCTTTGAGATACGATTTATTTTATGCAAGTGTATTAATCCCAAGAGTGGTAGGCTAATCCCAGAATAATGACGTTAGGGGCCATTTATATGGGGCGTATATGGGGTGGTCTTCCTAGCCTCTTCACACCTGTCTGATATTTTCTCTAAAATGTTTGTATGAAATATATATTATATATTTGGATAAAAGCGTCTGCTAAATGACTAAATGTAATGTAATGTAAATGTATATATATATATATATATATATATATATATATATATATATATATATATACACATTTTCAAAGAGATCCACAGGTCAACAAGGAGACTGCTAAAGAGCAGCTTCTGCTTTAAACTGACTGAATATCTACAATTAAATATCTACTATTCAAATATATACTGACAAATGTAAAACACAGTAAAACACCCTAAATCTGCTGAAACGCATCGATCTGATGGTAGTTGAGTTTGCAGCTGGATATAATTGGAAGATCGCTAACAAAAACAAGGAACAGCTCGGCCAGATCGCATCTGAAGCTCATACAGAAGTTTATTTTACATATATAGCAGAAACACCATTGAGCATCGGTAGATCCTCTTGTATGGGCATGGGTCCGTTTTAAAACACTCACAGGACAATAATTTGGACAACTATGGGAATATATTAAATAGTTCACACAAAATACACAAAGAGAGATCTTGAGGCTGTTTTTGTGCCGTGTTTAAAGTAGTCAATCAGAAAACAGAAGAATGTGCATTATTTGATCATTTTAATACAGCATAATATTAATGAAATTCAAAAACTATATTGAAATTTAATTTTAAGCTATCTTGCGGCCCACCTGCAGGACCACTGAGGCCCACTAGTGGACCGCAGCCCACCGGTTGAGAATCCCTGATTTATAGTGTTGTGTAGCCTTAACACTTTAGTCCAGCTAGAAAAAAAACAGTGAATGACAGTGTATGATATGGCTGGACTTACTTTCTGTATGGTTCTTAAATTTTAGTTTTCTCACAAAAAAGGTATGCAAATCATGTCTTGCAACATAAAATGTGTTCCAAGTGAGCTCATCTTCATTTGTAGTATTATGTCGTGCAATGTATCTTTCAGTTTTTGAATTATAGTGTCCTACTGTTATGTCGTCCAGCATGAATGTGATACTTATTTCAGAATATGGCTCTCCTTTCATGTAAGTTGCAAGCATCCACAATGAGTGAGAACCTGTGAGAAAGAACAAAATAATTAATTTAAAATGATGTGATACTGACTGTTAAAGTTTATAATGCATGCCTGTTAAGCCATTTTTCTTTAACAAAAAAAAAAAATGTATTAAAAGCTGCTGTTATTAATGGATTTTTATTTCATTCATTAATCAATCTACTCAAATACCAGGGTCATTACAATTAACTAAAACTTAATTTTATGTTCATTTTATTTGAAATCAAATAAACATTAATTGAATAAAAATGAAATATATGTTAAAAAAGGAAACAATTTGGTTGCTGAGAACACTGGCTATTAGTAAGGAATATATTCAACTAAAGCTAATTAAGACATATTTAAAGCTATACTGACATTAAATTATTAACAAAATTATATAAATATAAAAGAATACAAAATAAAATGGCACAAAAAATAATAATCACACTACAATTAAAATCTACGAAATAACACCAGTATAGAATTAGTAAAATGAAAACACTTGTACTGAATATTCAAAATATGGATATGTTGTAAGCAATCCATTTATTGAAGCAGGCTACAGCAGGGTCAAATGACATTCTCCAGCATCTGACAATCAAAATGGCTCCTTAAAAGTGATGTATGAGAATAAATTGTTTTATGTAGAGATAAATTAGACAAAAACCTACCTGTTAACGCAGTTGTAGGAGCTAACAACACACACAAAAACAAGATGATAATCATGTTCCCGACATAAGACATTTTGCTCTTAAGTCACCTTGGTTGTATGAGTTACAGCACAAAACATGCAAACAAGTCTTTCAAGATTTTTTTTTTTTAAGACGCTGAGGAGGAACAAGGAACATAAAAAGGGGGCGGTAAAAGGGGTAGATGGAGAGGTTGGAGTTTGACAGATGATTGTTCTGTAGTAAACCAGACTACAGCAGATATACCCTGACAACAATGTGACAATAAATATTAATAAAGCCTTGATCAGGATGATCTATAATATGATTTCAAGTTAGGTTTGGACTGTAATTTATTTCAGTGGTAACTGGGTTAAAACAAGAAGTTAATCATACACTCAAATTGGTTGAATGCACCTAAATAGAGACACATTTACAGATTTATTCCACCAAACACTTTATAACAACTGCACATTATGAATCATTTATTAAGCGTTTGTATCCATTATCATAGTCATTATTTAAGAATTTAAGGTTCAGTAAGTGATCTGCCTAAATGCTAACCTAAGCCATGGAGTTTCAAGCCTTAGACCGGCCCACCCCAGTTCACGACTGACTATATTAAAATAACGTCATTTCCAATTCAGTTTCTAATGACACTATCACGTCTTTTCAAGGAAACAGCTGCTTTAGAACTTCAAATGTTTTTCATAAACATGAGAACATTAAAGTGTTGCTAAATCTCCAACAATATTCTTTAAAACATCACAATGTCCTTTCCTGCAATATTTTGGTATTTATTATACTAAGATGAGGTTCAAACTCAGGTCGAAGGAGTCATAATGCAACGTGCTGACCACTGGACCACAATGGTGCTGTTATGCTGGAGCGTTTGGAATAAAAAATAAGTATTGCACTGTTATCTGCAAAACTCTATTGACCCCAGTATTACTTTCTACTGACTGTACTTTCTATTGATGGCTTAATCTTCTTCTCCCCTTTTTAGATTTCTAATTATGTCAGATTTCTTATTGTAATAAATCATCTGATTTTCATTGAGCAGGTGTCATTTTCATTAATATTAATAATTCAAATTCTTATTTTCACTAAGGTGCTGCTGTTTGGGGTCGAATGATAGCTACATCATCACTAACAAGCAGGCTGCATTTTGCTCATGGGGCTGCGAGAAAATAAATAAAAAGAGTGGAGCTGTGGCAAAATAATAAATAAAAAGAGTGAGGTTATGGTCAAATAAATAAATAAATAAATGAAAAAAATGCAACTGCTGAGAGTGCAAGCAGCTAGGGAATAAAGTCATAAGTATCTTTAACCAATTATTTTTATTTACATAATTTGAGTTCAGAAACTACAGAGATGTTAAAATGATGGTTATGATATATTAATAATAATGACTGAAATGGGAAATCATACTTGTGAAATTCAATAGGTGGCGATAATGCTAAAGAGTTAGTTAGTTACCATATATGGTTTGCTTAAATCGTGTGTCCTAGATTGTGTGTGCCTAAAACGTGTGTGGTTCTGCAGTTCTGCAACTGGATTTTGTAGCATATAAAATGTAAAGGGGCATTATTATAAAACAAAATATGATGATTGTAATATATTATTTCCATACAGCAAACAAAAAATTCATTAGATATTTATGTTAACCTACAATAAAAGATTGAACACTTTCTTTTTTAATTGAGGTAATTTGTTGTGTCTAAGGTAAAGTTATATACACATATTACTTTAATTATGTTAAAATTACTTTAAAGTTAAAAACTACATAAACCTTGGGATGCTGGTTCAATGGTTTCTTGAGATACTAAAAAAATAAATAAAAATGTTAAAATTAAAATAGAATTTGAATAAACATTCAATGCTAAATATTGAATTTGAACTTAAGATTTCAGTCAGAATTCAATGCTGATACTGAAAATACAATAATAACATTTACCCCCAAAAAAAACTACCGTACTTACTAGAAGCAGCAGAATAATCACAGCTTAATGAAGTCACTGTGTAACATAAAAATGAAACAATTAATTAAGCAGCACATTTAAAAAAAAGCCTCACAATTTTTTTTTTTCTTATTTAGTTTTTATTGCAGTTTCCAAATTTGGGTAAACAAAACATCCAACCATCAGAATCCAGAAATTGTAGAAATAAAAGAAATTATAAAATACAAAAAAAAATCCATAAATAAATAAATACGGAAGTTACATTAATGATTCAAGGACATTATGAGACACAATACACTCATAATTGTTTTGTATATCATCAAAAAGAAACAGAAAAAATTTATTTGTTGCTTTTTAGTCACAATACTTTTTTAACCATATTGCGGCACCCAGTCTAGCCTTTTCTTTTTTTCCCTTTTTTATTACCTGAAATATGTACATGATATTGTGAGGATGGTAATTTTATGATCTTAAATGTACATTTTTATTTATTTGTTTATGTTTTAAAAAGCTATTGTTCTTCTCAATATCTTTATTTTTTGTTTTCTCTTATTACAAAAAAATAAAAAATACGCATAATAGACTAAATAAAATTCACATCTTTCTAAATAAACATTCTATGATATATCTGGTCCTAATGGAAGAATAAATTCTACAGATTTTCTCCATGTCTCATTAAACTCCTCAGTCTGTAAGCGATGGTTCATTGTTAGCCTCTCTATCTTATAGATTTCATAAATTATGTCAAACCAGTCACAAATCGGGGGTATTTTAAGCTGTAACCTTTTTTTGGTTATGGCTTTTTTACAGGTTATCAGCAAAAATTTCAGTAGTTATTTTTTGTCAGATTTTTCTTCTAACACAACACTGAATAATTTTTAATTCTTTACATTGATTTTTTGCCATACCTGCTCTTCTCTTCCTGCACCTATATATGAAAACTCCAATCCCAAACACCAAGACCAACGTCAAACTGATCAGCACTGAGAAAATCACTGGTTTATATGGTTCGCCTGGTTCAAATTCTGAAACAATCAAGTTAAAAACATTACAAACAGGTAATAAACAAGCTTCAGTGATATTCAGAATTTTTAACACCTCATTACCCAAATTGACGATAAGTTTGTTGTCAAGACCGAGGTGTTTGGCAGAGCAGGTGTATTTGTGTTTTTGTCTCTCCTCTGCTCTGATCTCCAGACTCTTCCTCATCTGGTACGTCCCGTCTCCATTGGGTAGCAAATCTCCTCCAGTGACCTCATGATCAGATACAGGCTGTCCATCTCTCAACAGGGTCAGGTTGATGTGACGAGGGTAAAAACCTGTCGCCAAACAACTCACAGCAAGCCATCCAGAGTCAGAGGCTTTCTGAATAAGTCTGACTCTTGGTTTCACTTTTAAAAAAGGGAAATTGAGTATATTACAAGTATATTACATATAATGTATAGTTATTGAAATTGAATAATACCTTTTCTGTTTACTTGTGTTCCTCTTTTTTTAAGGTAACTCTTCAAGGTTTCTATGCAGGCTGGGTAGTATAAAGTCTCAAACCGCCACATGGCCAGATCTAGATAGGGTTTGATTTCTAGCTTTGTGTAATTCAATGAACCCTGATATGTAAACTTCCCATCCAAAAAATGCAGTTCATCAACCGTCAAGCCTCTAAATGCACTTTTGGTGATCATCTGTCCAGGTAAATTACATGAGCTGTTGGGAAAGAAAGTGATGTGTTTGGTTTATCACTTGATTGATGTAAAATCAAACTTAAATTGGATCTTTCAGCCAAATGAACTTACTTTCAGAATTATTCACAGGTCTCAGATGATTTGATCTCCTCATGAGATGAACACGCAGATAATAACTTATAGTATTGAGGTGACTTTGATCCACCACGTTATCTTCATTAGTAGTATTTCCTCTTGAAACGTGCTTATTTGGACCATCATTTATTTTTCAACTAGACAATGACCCCAAACACACCTCCATAATTTCATGGTTTTTGTTTGGCAGCCGTAGCTTTTTTTTTTTTTTTTACAAAGCAAGTAATTACAATTTATTACTTTAATTTTACATAATTTTAAAAACTGGAAAAACACTGTGTAAATAACATGGCAATTTTATTGTATAAAACAGACAAATTGCTGTAATTTGTCATTAATTATATAGCACATAAAATAACAGTCAAGCTGTTAAGATATTGTTTCTAATTTTTACGGACTTTTGAATATAATTTTAAATAACAGAAAAAATATTATATAAATAATACTGTCCCTGTATAAAAAACACAAATGTTAGTAATTTGTCTTTAATGATAAAGTTTCTAAAATGAAAGTCAAACTGTTAATTTAGAGCGATTGTTTGTCATTTTACTAAGTTTTGAATATAATTTGAAATGACAAAAATGTACTGTAAAAAATTAGAGATATTTTCTGTAAAATTAGGATTTTTTTACAGTGTACCTTAAATCTTTAAGATCAAGCAGCGCAGTGGCTTAGTGGGTAGCACGATTGCCTTACAGCAAGAAGTTCACTGGTTCAAGCCCCAGCTGGGTCAGGCATATGTGGAGTTTCATGTTCTTCCTGTGTTCACGTGAGTTTCTTCTGGGTGCTCCATATTCCCCCACAGGCCATGCGCTATTGGTGAATAGTATAAAGTGCTTTCTCAGTACTGGGTTGCAAATGAAAGGGTATCCACTGTGTAAAACATATGCTGGATAAGTTGGCGGTTCATTCCACTGTGGAGACCACTGATGAACAAAGGCACTAAGCTGGAGGAAAAATACTTTCTTAAATAATTTAATAATATGTTGTTTCTTCATGTCTAGGTGTACCTTTGTATGCAACACACTGACAAATGTAAAGAATTGTTTTTACGTTTGTCTTTTTTCAGATGGTGAACATTATTTGTTGAATTAATGTACAACGTATGGAAACATAAACATATGTTGAAGTCATTCAGAAAATAAAAGCAGAACTGCCTTCTTTTTCTTCTTTGGAGTTTAACTGCAGCTGGCAGAACTGCCGCCAAAGGCACAACAGTTTACAACAACAAAAAAATTGATAACAAATACACACAAATTGTGCACAAATAAAGGGCACAAAAATACATTGTAATTCATGAATTGCACACAAGATGGCGCCAAATACACGAGACAAGGTGTGACCAAAGAGTAAAAAACATATGGACGCAGAATTTAATCCAAACGTCTCGTGATGGTCACAATCTGTCGCAGAACGAAATTACGGAAACCAGCCTAAAAATTGCCAAAACCCCTCTAAAACCAGCCAACCAGCCTATGGCACATCAAATAAACAACGCTTGTCATTTGACCACCCGTATCTGCACTGTAACAAAATAAGCACTTACATTTTAAAACAAGCAATACGATTTTTTTTTTTTTTTTTTTTTGAAAATGCGTGATGTAAGCTGCTTTTTTTATAATTTAATAACAATATTGGACTGCATAAAATATCTCAGATATCAATTAGACTAAGCTGGGTTGTTGCCTGGGTTTTGTTGGTATTTGTTATCTTCATAGAGGGAAATTTGTAAAATAACAAAACACATACTTTTTTTATCATACAATATATTTATTTTTAATTGACAATCAACAGGACCCAAAATATGCACATCATTTACAGCTATGCCATATTTACAAATCGTGTGTTTATATTAACAAGAGAAATACAGCAATTTGCATATCCCTGCACGGCAATCCTTGTCAATTTGTACAATAAACAATAAACTCGGCTGCTGCAACGCTTGTTATACTGTTTAGTATTTATTGCTTTTGCCTTTGTTTTCATTTGGTTTATTCCATTTCATCATATTTTTGAAACAGCAAATTCAGTAGACTAACTCGATAAAATGTCGAAATTCATGTCAGAGTCACCCATCTAAATCAAGTTCAAATAACGTTACAGGAGACCGTGGACATATAGGCTAACATTAGTTTTGTCTTCCTAATTATTAATTTAGACTCATAAAAAAAAGAGTAAGTACGCAGGATAATGATAAGCCTGAGCACACACTTACTGAAGGCTATTACTGCTGAACAACTCATTTTCTAATGGTAAAATAACACAGAAATTGAACATCGGTACTTCTTCTCATCCTGAAGCTCATGCATATCAACACATGAAAAACGAACCAATCAGTTCGAGTGGGCAGGGGAAGACAAAGCCCCGGTCAGTCAAGTCCTGTTCCAATTTCTGACCGAGTTAAAGCTAAGACTGAAAACATGCAGTGCAAATTTACAGACTCGTTAGTCCTCATTTTTTCGCTTGTATTTCCACTTGCGTCGTATGGTAAGATCTTTACATTATTTATTTTGTTTAATGCACGTTATTGTAAACGAAAGTGAAAGTTTTCTAATGTGGGTGTCGGTGGTGTCCAGAGGAGCTTTTTTAACTTGAACATTTAAATTCGACGACCGTTGCCCACTGCCAAATGTCTAGAATGTCTGTTTGTTTGTTTTTTTGTTTTTTGCCCCATACTGGACTATATTATCCCGTTTTTGACTGTTATGCCATCATAAACTGTGAAAAAATAACTGTTTGAAGAGGGCCTTAAAAAAGCTCCTACAGCACTGAAGGGTCTAGGGCTAGGCTATTAGGATTTAGTAGGGGAATTCCCCTAGTCGCATATGTTTTTTAAGCAAATAAATAAACTCAAAAAGATTAAGTTGTTACATAGGCTATAGATATACACAACAATAGAATTAGAAACAATGGCACACATATAAATCCAGCTAAAAGGTATTTGTCTAAGTGTCAGCTAAAATGCAAACCTTTAAGATGTGTATTAAAATCAGCAATAAAGTTAAGTGAACATTGTTATTATTTTATTTTGTGCACAAAATTAATAATCTATCATATTTTCTTTATAGATTATATATAATAATATATAATTTAGTATCCTAATATAGATACTAAAAATGTAAAAGTGTGATTTTTAGGTAATTGAAACTTGCATGTTTCAGCTGATTGTATGATTGTAAGGCTTTATTCAAATGCTATTGTAATCAAATGCATAAAAAAATGCTGTTACTTTAGAGACATTCAATAAATTTGCAAACATCAGATGTATATGACCCATTTCCCAAACAAGTGCACTCAACCAATGGCTTTGCTTGAATAAGCACAGCACACAGTATATTGTTGGACTCAGTTTTTATTGTTTTAATATTATTATTATTATATTTTGTGCACAAAATAAATTATCATATTTTCTTAATATTAAAAGTATAAAAAATAAAAAATTGGTTTTGGTTTTGGTTATCTTAAATCAAAATCTGACCATTTGCTTCTGCTCTGGAAAAGTAGTTTTTCTCTGACAACTTCAGTTTGATGGCTTGGGTATAACATGTTTAGCCACGCCCCTCCAACTGTTAGTTTGCAGCGAATGAAAGGTTAGAGAAGTGTATGTAAAAGTCTGCCCATCCTACCCCTGCACATATTGTAATTTTAAGAGTTCACACTTAGATATTGCTTGACACTATAAGCAGGTTTGGCATGCTGTCCCGGGAGAGAACCCTGAGCTCTGAGATAATTGAGCCCAGGGCTCCCGCCCAGTCGATTGAGCATGTAAGGGGATTACGAGATCAGATAGTTCTTGAGAGCTCCAGTGGGAAAAAAAGCAGGGGTGGATGGGGGGTTTCTTCGGAAAAGAGATAAGAGATAACTAATGATTGTAGATGAGAGACCAGTTGCAGTCAATCATGTCACGTGCTCCTCTTGAAATGAGTTTCTGAAACTTCACTTATGATCCAATATAAATTGTTATTCTCTATTCTTAAATTATTCTCTATTCTTCTTTTCATTTTTGATCTAAAGGTTATTCTCCTCCTGTTTCTGGTAAGTATTTTCCTTTTACTTTGTAAATTTGTCTCATTAAAACTTTAATGACTGCAGAGTAATATTCTGTAAACCCAAAAAAATACCTTCTTTTTATTAAACCCCCCAAAAATTAGAAATTACCATCCTGACAGAGCGAATCTGAGGACCAAAACAGTTTACAATCTATTGGTGAAATTCATTCATTCATTCATTTTTCGGCTTAGTCCCTTTATTAATCAGGGGTCGCCACAGCGGAATAAACCACCAACTTATCCAGCACGTTTTTTGCAGCGGATGCCCTTCAAGCTGCAACCCTTCACTGGGAAACACCCACTTACTCTCATTCACACATACAATACTGACAATTTACAGTAGCTTATTCAATTCACCTATAGCACATGTGTTTGGACTGTGAGGGGAAACCAGATTACCCGGAAGAAACCCACGCGAACACAGGGAGAACATGCAAACTCCACACAGAAATGCCAACTGACTCAGCTAGGGGTTTGAACCAGCGACCTCTTTGCTGCGAGGCTATTGTGCTACCCACTGTACCACTGTGCTGCCCTTTATTGGTGAAATATTATATGTTAAATAGGAATTCATTAATATAATTATAAATGTCTTCAGAATCTTACCTCATGTGTTGTTTTGCTTTTAGATTAAAGTCATATATTCTTTATTGTATTATTACTTAATTTAGGGTAATTAAACAAGGAAAAAAACACCTTGATTTATAGTTGCTTTTGTATTTTTCTCATTTTTAATTTTGATTCATCTTAAAGGTCATTTGAGGTTTACTAAAGACCCAGGCCACTGCTATAGTTCACTAATTTGTCTAAAATACTAAACAACTTTATGTGAAACGTTTACTGATAAACCAATGAATATTCACTGATGCACAAGAGCAATGAAATATCCTCTCTGGTCCGAGCCAGAAGCTGGACGAGAGGAGAAACATATTCCATATTTTGATAATCAGTAGATTTTTAGTACACTGTAAAACCCAATAATTTAAGGTAACTTAAACAATTCAATGAAATTGATTGCAACAAAACATTTCACTTCATAAACTAATCCTAATGAGTACTGTGAACTAAATTCATTTAAGTTGAAGTAATAAGGTATTTCATTAACTTGTTACCTTCAACTACGCTCATTTCATTTGGTAAAGTTGAGTGTTGGGTTTTACAGTGTAATATTAATTTTCTTTCAAGTGTCGACACATTCATTTTTTTCAAGTGATTTTTTTTTTTCAAAAACATTGACACAAAAAACTGAGGCGTGTACACCATAATTTTTACTTTTTAAATGCCCCTGTTTGGTACTAATAAGACTTTATTATTATTATTATTACTTTATTATTTATTAAAATACATAAGTGTACCAATCCATTAACAATGGATGCAGCTACCAGCATTCTTTATATGTTTATAAATATTATTAAGATTATAAATATCTTTTGTGTTCAACAGAAGAAAAAAACTAAATAGGTTTTGAACTGAAGTAAAGGGTAAATAAATGAATGGATTAAGTAAATGATGACAGATATTTCATTTTCTGGGTGAACTATCCCTGTCAAGTTTGCAGGTCTACCAGCCACTGTTGGTCATTGTATAAAATAGTAGAGAAAGGTTTCTTATTAGTAAGAACAAGTCAAGACCTGTTTGTTTTCTATAAAACATTGGACGCTAGAAATGAAAAGCAAGGAAGCTCAGATACCTCTCACTTCCCACAAGTCTAGTGTGTTTTAAAGCTAATTATTTTTCAGTGATTGCAGAATGGAAATACTTAGTACAACAATTTGTCTTTAACATGGTTAAAATTCTTCAGCTTTTTATGTTTTACTCATAGTTGTACCTACAAAAGGTAAGGCTTCAAAACAATTTATAAATTTTTATTAAAATTACTTTGCAAATGGAATCTGTTTTAGAGATATTTACAGTACCTAAACTTGATTGTGGTTTCTTTAATGAATGGTAATTAACAAAAAAAACAAAAGAAACAGTTTGGTCAGTAGCTGAACAGAATATGCTTCCAGTAAATGCACCATATGGAAATCGTATTTAAAAAGATTTTTAGTGTTATCTTGAGCACAGGAAGTGATTAAACAGCCTATTTACCTACTTAAAGTATTGCCTGCTTGATGTATGTGTTTTTACACAGTTGTCAAAAAAATAAAAAATACACAAAAGTACATTATAAAACAAGTACATTATAAAACACCAGCACAGATCTACAGTGTTAACAGAAAGGTTATATATGCTTATTTAATCATGACATTTCCTAGTTTCAAACCACTGCTTCGAAAAAAGGGTCAGACTTTGTGAGAGGTCAACATGGGAAAAATAAAAAAGTAATTACAGAAATACAAAATTTGTTGCATTTACTCATTTTTGATACAATGTGTCACATTTACTCTTTCAAATATTCACTTTTACTTTACATTTTTTGATGTCTGGACCCCTTGGAGTCACACAACACATCATCAATACAGTCAAGCCCCTGATTATTCATACCCCATGTGCAATGGGTCAGAAATTTACTGTAAATAAATTTTGAATAATGCTGTCGTTATGACATATGTTTTGTAGCATGATTTTATTTACAAAAAGACATAATAACATAATAAACATAAAAAACACTTCATAAAATACAATCTTGTTTCTTCCAAAGTGTAAAACATTATAGACTTGTGACTGTTGTGATGTATTGCATTATAGACTCCTGTATTCGTTTTTAGTTACTGTCACCATAATAACTACAGGATTTTAATTTAAAAACTCGATATGTAAGATTTTCTTTTTGCATTAAAATATCTGAAAACCATTGGAACACGGGTATGTACACTCACTGACCACTTTATTAGGTACAGCTTACTAGTACTGGGTTGGACCCCCTTTTGCCTTCACAACTACACTGTTAGACCTTACTGGGGTTTTTTGCAGTAGAATACTGGCAACACTGTTGCCAGCTACTGACTGTAAAAGTTCGGTTACAGTAAGTAACTGGCAACAGTGTTGCCAGTTAATAACTGTAACTGAACCATTACAGTGAGTGGCTGGCAACAGTGTTGCCAGTTTTCTACTGTAACTGAACCATTACAGTGAGTGGCTGGCAACAGTGTTGCCAGTTATTTACTGTAACTGAACCAATACAGTGAGTAGCTGGCAACAGTGTTGCCAGTTAATTACTGTAATAGAGCAGCAGTGGTAACTAACTGGAAACTGTGTAGAGTTAATTACTGTATTGTAGTGTTACAAATCACAGCATTATACTGCATACACATTAATAGTATGTCATATATAGTTATTTTAGTGTTACTAAAATTAATCAGCATTCTTAGCTGTTATTTAAAAATAGAAGGCATAACATTTTTTCAGACAAATTTATTTTATTGTTTTGGCACCAAACAAATAAATAGCAGAAAATGTTTAACAAAATTAAGAAATCAACAGATATAAATATTGTCTTACATATTACAGGTCTGCACAGTAAGGCTGCGGTCACACTAACGTTTAAGCATGCAATATTCTGTCATACTGCACTGCGAAGTGGAATTAAACAAAGCGAGTAGTGGAATTAAACAAAATAATTAGAAATTGAAAAAGCAAGCCAGAGAGGTCATGTTCTGATCTTTGATTGGTATCAAGCAATCACATGATGTGATTTCGCATTCAGCATTCTCCAAGCTTGAACTTTTCAATGCTGCGAATTATTAAATTTGTCTCGTGAGCTATCATTCCAGGTCTGCAGTACTCACATGCATATGAATGGAAGTCTATAGGGAGAAGAGTGCAGTGTGACCGGGACTTTAAGCTGTAACTCTAATTAAACACACCTGATCAAACTAATTAAGGCTTGTTAGAATTCTACAGGTAATGTTGAAGCAGGGTGGGTTCTAAACTCTGCTGCGCTGCAGTTCTCCAGGAACTTGGAGTTTGACCCCCATGGTATATAGCAGGGGTGCTCAATCCTGTTCCTAGAGATCTACGTTCCTGCAGATTGCAGTTGCTACCTATATCAAAAGGTGCGTTCGACTTCATGCAGCGCTGCGCAGATCGATCGAAATCTGTCTTAAAGCGGTGCATTCTGGTTAGAAATCTTGTTCGGATTGATGCTGCGCCGACGCCACGTGACTGTCACATGTGGCATCAAAGTACCGCGACAGCGCTCCGAGATCAGACGGCAAACTCAGACCGTGCAGCTTCTGAAGAGCGACTGCAGGAGCTCTGATGACGACACCGATATTACACGATTGGCCAAGTTCACCACATGACAACAAACACGTGTATTTCGGGTTTATAATTGGACAAATTCCGATTCAAAAGTTTCAAAACAAACAATTCACTTTTTACACCCTCTCTATCCTGTACACATCTTGCTTATTAAAAGACTACAAATATTTTACTGCAGTATCATCTTTTGTTAAATAATCTGGTAATAAAGGTTAGCTTGTTTGCACAGGTTTATTTTTTAACTTTTTTATACAGACTATTTACTGCATTCATCTCCATGAACGATTTAAATGATGTATTTTAGTGTATATTTTAGTAACCTAAATATGAACTCAAATAAGTCTTACAGACTTGAAATAAGAAAATCATCCTCATTGATCCTGCCCCCCTAAAGCTCTCTTAACAAATTAAAGTAAAGAACTATTTTATTAAATAATTATAAAATGGCTTTATTATTATAATATAAATATATATTTTATTTTCTGTCTAGCAGTTTATAGGCTACCTGCTCTTTCTGGGAAACTTCTACATAGCTCACTTATTTTACCTTTTGTTCTTTTCAACAAAATCTTTTTGGATTAAAATGCTTTTTTGAAAATTCATTCATCATCCAAAATAATGTCATTTATTAAGACCTAATCAAACACCTTGTTTTGCTTTTTACATGGGAAATTTTTATATCTATAAATGTACATATGTAAACCCTTTTTTAGCAGATTCAAACAAGAAGTATCAGCCTAAAGACTGATGTTTAAATCCTAGAATTTATGCTTATTGCTTTGTATTTAATAGACCTGTTCGTTTTTATGTTTATATTAACCTCTCATTTCCTCTTATTTCTCTCATGCATTTGTTATATATTTTATTCATAATTCTCTCTTATTGTTTAAAAAGGAACTACAGTTTGAAGAGCCTGTATTCTGTTTTATTTGTAAATGTTTTATTGTTATAAATAAAAATAACAAAAAAATATGATGACGCCATGTGATCGGTCATCATGACTGCAGCAACTTTGAGTCCCGAAGTGTCCAGCTGTCCGTCTTGACGGCTCCGTTTTCAACTCCGCCCCCGCCTGCGCTCGACTAATCTCGTTGATCACCGGCTGCAGCTGAGCTTCATGTCGAACGCACCTAAACACACCTGCCTGTAATTATCACGTGGTGTTCAGGTCCTAATTAATTGGTTTAGGTGTGTTTGATATGGACAGCAACTGAAATCTGCAGGAAGGTAGATCTCCAGGAACAGGATTGAGAACCCCTGGTATTAGCAATACTTTTAAAGCAACTGCCAACATTTATCACAATCACATATCCAATAAACACACACACACACACAAAGTGCTGCAGTGAAATGTGTTACTCTCTCCTCAATGCTGACCATGCAAAAAAAAAAAAAAAAAAACTGAACAGCAAAAAACACAAAATAAATATTTTAAATTTTAAAGTTTTAAATAATTAAAAACTGTGTCAAATCTCAATAAAAAGTTTAAAATAATTGTAGAAAACAAAAATAAAGTTGGCAACACTGAAAAACCAAAGGATCCAATCTTTTACTATTATAATTATCTCATGACAACAAACTTTTTTATTGTTTCAATTATAAATTCATAGGTGGAAACACAGCTCTGAAAAATACTTAGCAACAAACTCACAACCTGGGACCGGACAGGGGAGCTTTTGTGTGTGGATGGCTATGTGTATCATGTTTTTGTGATTCCCTGTGATGATGTGCACATGTTACCTTACAGAGACGATGGAATTTAATTTTGGCTTAGTTGCCAGAAAGATACATACAACTGTTAGCATCTGTACATTATGGCAGTGTGCAATATCCAATAAATACATATACTGTACTTAAACAAAAGTAATGTAAGAAGTTATATGAGGATATAGGCTAACTAGCTAACAATGTAGCTTTCAAGTACACAGTTCAAGATAACAACAGTATAACTTAAAACACAGCCTTATTTTAGAAACCCTCAAAAACATTTGAACACATTTTACTTACTCATCGTAGATTCTTATTTAAAGCCTAAAACATATCAGACTCTACATCTGAATTGATGGACATAGCATAGAGCACACTCGGCAGTAAACAAATCAAACACCTGGCTCCCTTAAAGTGCCGGCATTTTCTGAAAACTCTTTCTAACACCTTTGTGTTTAGAATAAGACAGACAGCCTGTGGGAGTGTGTGGTGATGCCTAAATCATTGTTTTTTACAGTTATTTACTACACAATCTACAGAGTAACAGTGCAGTTATACTAATTAAACACACCTGATCAAACTAAATCTAAAGGTAGTGTGTTGAAGCAGGGCTGGAACTAAATTCTGCTGGGCTGCGGCCCTTCAGGAGTTTGACATCCCTGGTACATAGCATATTTTCAAAGGAACTGCCTACATTTATCACAATTATGCACATATCATTGAATAAAACAATAAAAATATAAAAACTTCATCCAAAGCAAAAAATAAATAAATAAATAAATTATAATAATAATAAATAATCTGATCCACATGTTGTTCCAAACCTGTAGTAATAAAAATAAATAAATAAATAAAATAACCTGATTAATACATTTATTTAGGAAAGCCTTTATACAATACTGTTAATGCCACTTCATTTTACCTACTTCATTTGAAGTTTTCCAGACAAATTAATTGAGTCTCTGCAAAAATGTATGTACGTGCTGTTTAAGATATTTTTTAAATAACACATTTTTACTAGTTATTTAGCAAAATACAAATTTTCAGCTTAAAGTGCAATTTAAAAGCTTAACTATAGGCTAAACTAGGCAAATTAGATTAATTATAGAAAAGTAAACAAAGTTACAAAAATGATTGTGATAATTTGGTTGCTCTGTGTGAATATTTTTGCCTTTAAATGCATCTCGTCGATATCTTTACCTTTTAATTAGCTCTGTGACATTGACATTGGTTGACTCCTGATACTCAATGTTAAAAACATAAAAGGAACCAAAAAAAACACAAAGATGTCTGCAGAGAAATTTAGCTTATCATCAATGCATTGTTTCACTTTCTCCTCAATACTGACCATACATATACCAAAACTAAAATATATATATATATATATATATATATATATATATATATATATATATATATATATATATATATATATATATATATATAGCAACATAAAGTATCAGAGTACATGGGGTAATAATGGTTGAGCAGTAATTTACCATTTATTATTACAGTAACTATCTGTAATAGATACAAAGTAAATTACTGTAATTTATTCTTTGCACTACAAAATTTCATATAAATCCTGCTCCTTTTACAGTAAAATACTGTTTCCTTTTATTATAGCAAAACACTGGCTATTTTACAGTTATTTACTGCATAATCTACAGTAAGGGTTAACAGTGTATCTTAATGAGGAATAAAAAATATTCCTCAGAGATTTTGGTCCATATTGACATGGTAACATCACGCAGCTGCTGCATATTAGATCTCTCATTCCACCACATTCCAAAGGTGCTTTATTGGATCAAGATTTGGTGACTGTGTAGGCCATTTGAGTACAGTGAACTCATTGTCATGTTCAAGAAAGCAGTCTGAGATGATTCATGATTTATGACATGGCGCGTTATTTTGCTGGAATTAGCCATCAGAAGATGGGTACACTGTGGTCATAAATGGATGGACATGGTCAGCAAAAATATTAATACAATTGGTATTAATGGGCCCAAAGTGTGCCAAGAAAATATCTCCCACACCATTACACCACCACCAGTCTAAACCGTTGATACAAGGCAGGATGGATCCATGCTTTCATGTTGTTGACACCAAATTATTCTGACCCTACCATCAAAGTGTGGCAGCAGAAATTGAGACTCATCAGACCAGGCAACGTTTTTCCAATCTTCTATTGTCCAATTTTGGTGAGCCTGTGCCAGTTGTAGCCTCAAATTCCTGTTTTTAGCTGACAGGAGTGGCATAAGGTGTAGTCTTATGCTGCTGTAGCCTATCTGCCTCAAGGTTGGACATGTGTGTTCAGAGATGCTCTTCTGCATACTAGGTAGTATTAAGGGATTATTTGAGTAACTGTTGCTTCTCTATCAGCTGGAACCAGTCTGGCCATTCTCCTCTGACCTCTGGCATTAACAAGGCATCTGCGCCCACTGAAGATCCGCTCACTGGATATTTTCTCTTTTTCAGACCATTCTCTGTAAACCCTAGAGATGGTTGTGTGTAAAAATCCCAGTAGATCAGCAGTTTCTGAAACACTCAGACCAGCCTGTCTGGCATCAATAACCATGGCACGTTCAAGTCACTTAAATCACTTTTTTTTCTTCATTCTGATGCTCTGTTTAAACTGCAGCAGATCATCTTCACCATGTCTACAAGCCTAAATGCATTGAGTTGCTGCCATCTGCCATGTGATTTGCATTAACAAGCAGTTGGACAGGTGTCTAATAAAGTGGCCAGTGAGTGTATTCTGCTGACTTGTGTAGTTACACAACACCATATGTTTCAAAGAATGTTCAAATCCAGAGAAATTATACATTTGAATTGTCAATAACATCACACACACTTCATTTAAGGTTTTGTGTTTTATTTAACAAATTTATTCATATTTTTCACATAATTTCTGAATCATGATTTTGTTTTAAATTTCCTATTATTTTTTCTACAGGCTCTCACTCCATAAGGATGTTTGCAACGTACATTAAAGGAAAAACGCCATTTCCTGAATTAAGTGGTGTAGTTATGCTGGATGATATCAGAGTTCTGTACTATAATGGTGTTACAGATAGTTTCTTAGCAAGAGGAAACACAACAGCTGAAGATGATGTGTTTGATCCAGACGATCTCGAAAATATTAAAGGGTTTATAAAATCAGAGTTTAGTTTTTTAAATGCACAAAACACCTTTACTAAAACTGATGGTAAGTATTGTTTAAGACTATAGTTAGTCAAACAGGCATTCCCCTTCTGGTGGGGAACTTCAATGCTATAAGTCGATTTAATCCACGTATGGGGATTTCGTTTTAGAAAGCCAATCGTCTGAAAGAGTATATAATGGGCCAATGAAATGCCAAATGAGTTGGCAGCGTAAGTTTGCGAACCTGTGGCTTATTGCAATCAACTCCGCATATAAGCACAGGGAAAGCAAGGAAACACTATACTTTTCGCTTCAGAGACTGTTACAGCCTTCTAAGCGAGTCGATGAGGGTTCCTCCTGCTGATATCCAGCGATTTCGAGCGAACGAGAGCAGTCTCCCGGTCCAGAGTGTGTACACACAGCGACAGACGGTGGAGCTGAGTTTCTCCCTTGCCTGGCGTTCTTTGGGTCTGGTCCTCCAGAGCGGTGCGTATAAAGTTGCAAATTTCACAAAAAGAGCAACACAGTCTAGCAGCATGTGCTTTTCAGGATGGTGCTCTGACTGTGCGTTTCTGGATGCGGTGGTTTCCTGATCATGACATGATTTTGGCAGATCATGTCGTCATTGCGATGTCATGACTGTTGCGCAGTAAGGATTGCGGCTAGCCCTTGCAAGAGGGCGAACCACCCCAGCTGTCCCCTGCTCTGCAGCGGGCACTCAGGCAGATCTGAGGGTTCCAGTGGGAGATTATCCGTCGCCTCCGGGCTCGCGGTCCTTCCGCTCCTCCAAGTGCTCCATCCAAGCTTCGAGCGGAGGAAGCGATCCGTCTAACCAGATGGTAGCCCTTACGTTCGATGACACCGGGGACCAGACATCCACCGCGGCATCGGTAGGTGGGCTTTCATTGTCCGATGATGATACAGACCCGCTCGCCCCCTCCGGGCAGGTGAGCACTGTCAAGACGGATCCTGAAACGAACATGTTAGCCGTGCTTTCCTGGGCTGCTTCGGCCCTGGGGTTGGAGATGGTTTATCCCCTAACTCGGTGGCTGGACCGACTAGATGGGTGCTACATAGAGGACCAGAGGGCTAAGCCTTTGAAGCCTCTCGTTCCCTTCCTCCCGGAGGTGCTTAGTAGGCTCACGCAGTCTTGGTGGGCACCTTTCTCTGCCCGTGCTGCGTGTTCCTCCGCCCTCACCACTCTATCCGGTGGAGCAGCCAGAGGGTAAGTGGCGATTCCTCAGGTCGAGCGAGTGATTGCGGTCAATCTTTGTCCGCGTGGTGCCTCTTCTTGGCAGGGTCTACCTCGTCTCCCGTCCAAAGCCTGTAGGTTATCTGCCTTCCTCGGAGCCAGAGCTTACAAGGCTGCAGGCCAGGCTGCTTCCGCCTTGCACACTATGACCACCTACCAGCGCTACCAAGCGCAGGTGCTGGCCGAGCTGCACGAGGGTGGATCCAACCCAGGCTTGTTACATGAGCTTCGCACCACAACCGACTCTGCTCTTTGGACCACTAAGTCCGCTGCGTGTGCGTTGGGGAGGACGATGTCCACATTAGTGGTCCAGGAGCGCCACCTCTGACTTAACTTGGCTGATATGCGCGAAGTCGACAAAGTCTGCTTACTTGACTCCCCCATATCTCAAGCTGGCCTGTTCGGCAACACCATCTGTGAATTCACCCAGGTGTTCAAGGTGGTGAGAGAGCAGTCTGATGCGATGGGTAATATCATCTATCTGCGGGACTGTAAGCCCACTCCACCCGCCGAGCCATCTATATCTGCTGCTCCTCGCAGAAGGCGCATGACTACAAGAGCTGCCCCGCCCCCGCACGCGCCTCCGGCGAAGCGGGTGTGTCGAGCACCTCGAAAGCAGGCAGCATCCCCTGCCCAGTGCGCTGTTAAGTCTGGTAATGGACCGCGAAGCGTACCTGAGACAGGTCGTCCAGAAAAGAGGGAATTTGCTCTTTACCCGCTGGAGGGGCGGGCCCCATTTCCAACTGCCATGAAAACATCAATGAAACAGCACTTTTCCACTTCTCCGGATGTGACAGCCCGAAATCTGCCAGTCTGGGACGCTATGCTTTCTAGCTCGCAGGTTCTGTGTATTTCGCCAGTGGCTCACAAGCACTGGGAGGACGGTCTCTTTTCTCCCACCCCTCGAGCCTCCATTCCGGAGTTTGGGTGTGGATAGAGAGCAAATCTCTCATCTCCAGCTCTTGCGGGACCCTCGCGCTTCCCAGATCAGCACACCCTCTCCGCGCTGTCCCACTGCTGGTACGTCAGCGATTGTAGCGATGAGTCTATCAGCGAGAGCTCTGCCTGCCTGGTTAGCGCGGGCCAGCCCTTCGCAGTAGCTCATACGCACAATCAGACTCGGCTATGCGATTCAGTTCGTGAAACGGCCCCCCAAGTTCACGGGTGTGTATTTCACCAGGGTCAGCCCCCTGTATGCCCCTGTCTTGCGAGAAGAGATTGCTGTTCTCCTGGCGAAGGATGCAATCAAGCCGGTTTCTCCAGCCGAGATGGAGAGTGGGTTTTACAGCCCATACTTCATAGTGCCCAAAAAGAGCGGTGGGTTACGGCCAATCCTAGATCTGCGCGTTTTGAACCGCTGTCTGCACAAGCTGCCGTTCAGAATGCTTACGCAGAAGCGCATCCTTCGGTGCGTTTGCCTTGGGATTGGTTTACAGGCACACACCAAGTCTTTGTTACTGTGCTGTGTCGCCACGCCCTCAGCCCATGAAACGACCCCTCGTTCAAACAGGCCGGAGTGCCTCTAGGACGGGGGTCCAGTCATTTTGTTTCAATAGATGCTTCCAGTACGGACTGGGGGGCTGTGTGCTGCGGGCTTGTGAAAAGGAACCCAGTTGCATTGGCATATCAATCGCCTGGAGCTGTTGGCAGTGTTCCTCGCTCTCCACCGTTTTTTTCCGGTGCTGGAGTGGCGATGGTGGGGTATATCAACCGCATGGGGGGTATTCGCTCTCGCCGCATGTCTCAGCTGACCCGCCGTCTGGTCCTCTGGAGTCATCCGCGGCTGGAATCGATGCGCGCCATTCACATTCCAGACAAGCTCAACTGTGCAGCCGATGCGCTCTCATGGCAGCCTTTACCTCCCGGAGAATGGAGACTCCACCCTGAGGCTGTCCCCCTCCAGACTCAGGGTTACGTGGCTGCCATCTCTGCTCTCATGACGCAGTGGCTGGCAGCACCGTGGGAAGGCATAACCTCATCATCCAGTTCCTCAGAGGCGCTAGGCGAATTAATCCACCCCGCTCCCCTCTCATGCCCTCTTGGGATCTCACCCTCGTTCTCATGAGCCTGTGTCTGATCCCATCAAACCTCGACTCAGTATTTTTAAGATTTTTGTCCCTGAAGACAGTTCTGCTGGTCGTATTTTTCAGTCAGTGACTCGTGCCTGTAATTTGGCCCAGCTTACTCTCACATTTTCCTGAGACCCCGCCCGGGATATGTGCCCGAGGTTTCTACACACCGTTTAAAGACCAGGTAGTGAGCCTGCAAGCGCTGCCCCCGGGGGAGGCAGACCCAGCCCTTTCTTTACTTTGTCCAGTTTGCACTTTGCAAATTTATCTGGACCGCAGCAGGGAAGTGCCATATCGAAACAGAGGTTGGCCCACTGGATAGTGGATGCCATCTCTCTCGGTTATCAGAGCCAGGGTGAGCCGTGTCCCCCAGGAGTGCGTGCACACTCCACTCGGAGCATCACATCCTCTTGGGCGCTTGCATGCGGCTCCTCTCTAACAGACATCTGTAGAGCTGTGGGCTGGGCGACACCTAATACATTTGCAAGGTTTTAAAATCTGCGAGTGGAGCCGGTTTTCTCAAGGGTTTTAGGTAACCCTTGGTGATTGAGGAAACAACTTGGTTAAGGTGTTGAAACACGCTTGTTGCGCCATTCTCCCTAACACAGAGATACGTGCGCCTTTTCATCTGTCAGTAAAGTTCCCCGTCAGGTGAGCCCTGCAGAATCCTCTGAAGCCCCCAGCACTGACTTAGCGGAGGAGTCACTTGCTGGCCCATTACGTTGTAGGTCTGCCCGCTGGTCAGCCCGCGTTTTGGGTATAGGTGCCCGCTATGAGTGATCCCCATCAGGCGATCCCATATGCTTATTCAGCCATGGTGCAGTCCCCCCTCACAGGCGGACCTGTGACTTCCCTCTCCGCTAACCATCTTGTTATATGCGTACTCCCCCTTTTCAAGGCTAGTCCATATATTTTGCCATCATATATCCCCATTGGGTAACAGGTGGCCTCCGCAGCGTCCTCTTTATTGGGACTGCACGCTTTCCCAACGTACTGTCGTATTTTTCCTAGAAATTATCTAGATGCTTGCGTCTCCTGATAAATATATAAAATCCGTAAAACTTCTTTTAAAGTGGGATAAGTAAGGGCCAGGGATCACATTGGAAGACCGCGCCTCTCTTTGATGCAGGAGTGCTCACGCTATGCCTGGCTATCCTCTAACGGGAGGCGAAGGTAAGGTGCAATCATTATGGTGTTTTCCAGACATTTCCCCATACGTGGATTAAATCCACTTATAGCGTTAAAGTTCCCCATCCGAAGGGGAACGCTCTGGTTACTAAAGTAACCAAATGCTATATAGCATCGCCATAATGATTGTTCCTTAGCTGTAAGTATCTCTTTAGCTTAAAAGCATAGCGTTTCCTTGCTTTCCCTGTGCTTATATGCGGAGCTGATTGCAATAAGCCACAGGTGCGCAAGCTTACGCAAGCGTCATTGGCCCGTTATATACTCTTTCAGACAATTGGCTTTCTTAAACGAAATCCCCATACATGGATTATATCAACTTATAGCATAGAAGGTTACTTATAACTTTATAATTACATATAAACACTTTTTAAAAACTTTAATATTAGCAGAATTTTTTTATGGAAAAAATAGATTTGTAGATGCAGTTTTTTGTTTAATAAACACTAATTTATACACATTCTTTATCTGTTTAAGGTATTTTTGTCTCTCAAATTCTGGCAATGTGTGAGCTAAAGGATGATGGTGAACCAGGACAAATGATTGGACAAGATGCTTTCGAAAGATTAACCATATTTACGGTGCTATATGCTGACAATAAATGTACCATCGACATCAACTTAAACATCTCACAGGAACAAAAAGAAAAAATTATTGAAGGAGTCAAAAACTATTATAGAAATCTAATCCAACCATTCTGCTATAAGACACTCAAGGTTTACCTTAAGAAAAGGAAGGATCAAGTCAATAGAAAAGGTAAAATGAATGTTCACAGACAGTATTGACACGTAGCCCAATATATAATGAAATATTTCTGATCTCTTTTTATTCTTAACAGTGGAACCAAAAGTCAGAATATTTCACAAAGCAAACTTGGACTTTGGAGGTTTTCGTGTGAGCTGTTTGGCGACAGGATTTTACCCTCGTCACATCAACCTGACCTTGTTAAGAGATGGACAGCCTGTATCTGATCATGAGTTCACTGGAGGAGATCTGCTGCCCAATGGAGACGGGACGTACCAGATGAGAAAGAGTCTGGAGATCAGAGCAGAGGACAGTGAAAAACACAAATACACCTGCTCTTTTAAACACCTGGACAAAGAATGGCACATTGATTTGGGTAATTATGTTTTAGATTAACAAAATTATAAGATAAAATTTTCATCTGATCTTATTCTGAATTTTTCTTGTAGCTGAACCTCACAGAAACACCATATGGATCGCTGTTTCTGTCCTGTTGGTATGTGCTATAATTGTTGGTTTGGCAATGCTTATTTGGAAGAGATACCAAACAGCAAGACAGAGAGAAAATGGTAGGCCTAATTATTTTTTTTTACATGTTTTCCTTTCAGATAATACATGATCTATTTGAATTTTTAACCGATTACATTGTGTTTAGCATGAAAAAAATATTGCTGTATAATCTTCAGAATTGAATATGAGAATCTGCAGAAAACACCCAATATACTAAGTGTGTATTTACACTTGTGTGTTTGGATCTCTTGTTTTTTTTAGATTCAGACTAAAAGTGAAAATCATACATTTAGTCATGGTTCACTTACTGCACAATGCTACAGTGTGAACCCTAGTGCACACCAAAGATGAGTCTCTGTTACTCAAATTACTTGGAATGGTTTGACTTAACTATGAACACAACACATATAAACTAAGCAAAAATAAGACATGATGTCACTAGATGTTGCTTTAATTAGGATAGAATGTTCAAGTGCACCTATTTTTCCTTGTGTAAATTGCAATGTTGCCAATTCAATTAAAAGACTGCATGAACCGGAAGCTGCAATGGTTTTGTTTTCTTCGTATTGTGAAGCAGTCCTTAGAGAAATGGAAAATTAAATGAAAAAACTGTGGGCTTGGCTTTTTTTATTGCGAGCTGATTGGATGTAGCAAAGTGGACATTTCATTCAGAAAGATTTTTTTTTTAAGTGTTTTGGAAGAATTATTACAACCTAACAGACACCTCCTAATCACCATTTCTGTTTGTTGTCAAAACTGACTGTTGGAGAATCGAGGTTAAGTATGTTTGCTACGTCTAATACAGGCATAATTTGAGAATTTAACTTAAAACAAACAGGACGTGTATTTTCAAATTTTTATTTTAAATTACAAGTGCAAAAATTTTTTTTTTACTTTGTGCACAGATTAATTGGTCACCACAAAACTGGCAATATGAGCTAACAAAATTATATGGTTAGTTTTGATTTCATTTGTATTTTAATACAGGCATCTTTGTCTTGTGGGTATTTACTTGATTGTGTGACGAAAAAAATCCTGATGCTATTAAAAGTCTTTCGTAAATAAACTCATCACTGATATAAATTAGCATCGAATGGATTCAAATATACAAATCAGAATGTTTAGCTGTCACCGACTCGATCCCAGTCATTCCCCTCGCTGGCCAGCAGAGGCCACCATCTCCGGACTTCTAACATTACGTCATCCCTTCACTCTGATTCCAGCACACCTGTTCTCCATTCCGCTAATGACCCACGTACCATATATAAGCAGCTCACACTCACTTCTCAGTGCGAAGTCTTGTTTAGCCCTGGCCAGCATTTCTGAGCGTTCTATCCTGCCTGATCTCCCGTTTACTACTTCAGCCCATTTCCTGACTCTGCTCTGTCTTCTGCCTGCCCACGACCAAAGCCTGTTACACGGACTCTGATTCTCGCTGCCTGCCCCTGACTAAAGCCTGTTACACGGACTCTGATTCTCGCTGCCTGCCTCAGACCCATGCCTGGTAATCACTCTGTGTCTGTCATCTGCAACCTCCTCTCATTGATGTGTATGTTGTATGTTCGCACAGCCGTGCGTATTGTTTGATGATAAGTGTGACTTAATAAATACTGCAAATGGATCCCTCCGTGTCAGTCTCCCCGTTACAGAAGACTTCGCCCAACATGGATCCCGCAGCCATCCAGGTTTTGTCTCACGAAGTCACAGCTCAAGCTCAGGTATTGACCACTCATCAACAGCAACTAACGCACTTAACTCAGTTGACAGACGAACTGGTGAAATCACTACAAAACCTGCAAGCTGCTCCCACAGCGCAACTCACCGCCAACTACTCTCTGAGTCCGCCTGTTGTGGCACAACCCCCGATGGTCTCCGGAGCTCGATTGGCATTCCCTGACAAATTCGCAGGTAACCCAGCAAAATGTAAAGGCTTTCTGTTGCAATGTAAACTGTTTATCGCCCAACAGCCCCATCTGTTTAAGGACGAAAATGGGAAAATTGCTTTTGTGTGCTCACTACTCACCGGAAAAGCGTTAGACTGGGCTACTGCAGTTTGGCCAGACAGCACCCCGATATTTCCCTCGTTTAATGACTTTCTCAAACGTTTTTGCACTGTGTTCGATCACCCTGAGGGTGGTCGTAATGCTGGCGAGGAGCTATTGTGTATCCAACAGGGAGATCGCTCCACAGCTGAGTTCGCACTGCAGTTCCGCACTCTGGCAGCGCAAACAGGATGGGCTGATGATCCACTTACTACGCTCTACAGAAAGGCTCTGAAACCAGAACTGCAAAAAGAAATGGGATGTCATGACGAGGGAAAAACACTGGACCAACTGATTGAACTATCCATAAGGTTAGACGCTCTCCTCCGCACTCGTAACCCACTGTGCTCAATTGCTTCCAGTCCTGTATCCCCTGAAACCTCTGCTGAACCCATGCAATTGGGCAGAACCCGCCTGAACCCAGAGGAACGAGAACGAAGGAGGAGAAATCACCTGTGCATCTATTGCGGACTTCCAGGTCATACCAAGGTTTTATGTCCCAACAAGCCTCTCCCTAAAACCCTCTCGGTGAGTGCAACCACTATGTTCACGATCACTAATGACATTATGAGTATACCTGTCATGTTGAAACACAATGGAGATGAGATTGAGACCATGGCCATGATCGATTCAGGAGCCGCTGGCAACTTTATCGACTACACGTTTGCTATCACTCACTCCATTCCTCTAACCTCCTGTGATTCTTCCCTAGCCATCACTGCTGTAGACGGGCGCCCGCTAGGAGAGGGACACATAGAATTCCAGACTCAACCAATCTCTCTTCTAACAGGCTCTCTCCATGAAGAGGAGATTTCCCTTCTGGCCATCGACTCCCTCGACACTCTGTAATCCTCGAGTTGCCATGGTTACAACTACACGACCCTCAAGTTTCCTGGAGAACTGGTGAGATCGTTAAATGGAGCGATCAGTGCTTTACCCAGTGTCTGCATTCTGTTTCCCCAGTCCAGATCAACACGATCACCAGCACCGAAGACCCTGAACTTTGTCAAATTCCCCAGCTTATCATGACTTAACCGAGGCATTTAATAAGCAAAAAGCTACCAAGCTCCCTCCTCATCGTGAAAATGACTGTGCCATCGAACTACTACCAGGCACCACGCCCCCTCGTGGTCGCATTTTCTCTCTCTCTCAGCCTGAGACTGAAGCTATGAAGACTTACATCTCCGAGGAGCTAGAAAAGGGCTTTATCAGACCATCCACATCACCTGCTTCAGCTGGATTCTTCTTCGTGAAGAAGGATGGCAGCTTACGCCCCTGCATTGATTACTGAGGCTTGAATGAGATCACCGTCAAATACCGCTACCCCTTACCATTGGTTCCAGCAGCCCTTGAACAACTCCGCTCAGCTCAGTATTTCACCAAATTGGACCTCCACAGTGCATATAACCTCATCCGCATCCGACAGGGAGACGAGTGGAAAACCGGGTTCTCTACAATCAACGGCCACTACGAGTACCTCGTTATGCCCTTCGACCTAGCAAACAGTCCTTCCGTGTTCCAGGCTTTTGTAAATGAGATATTTCGAGACATGCTCAACCAATGGGTCATAGTATACATTGACGACATCCTGGTCTACTCCAACTCCTTATCAGAGCACATTCAGCACGTCAGGGCAGTGCTCAAACGCCTCATCCAAAACCAGTTATACGCCAAAATTTCCAAGTGTGAGTTCCATCAAACGTGCATATCATTCCTGGGTTACATCATCAGCCCCGAAGGCGTGGCCATGGATCAAAAGAAGGTCGATTCAGTAACGCAATGGCCACAACCAGAAACTATCTGACAACTGCAACGATTCCTGGGCTTTGCCAATTTCTATCGACGCTTCATAAGAAACTTTAGCTCAGTTGCTGCTCCACTTACCGCCATGGTGAAGGCAAATAATGCTCGCCTCAAGTGGAACCCAGACGCTACTCGAGCATTCACTCAGCTCAAAACCCGCTTCTCCAGTGCACCCATTCTGCGTCATCCTGATCCCGAGCAACCTTTCATTGTTGAAATCGACGCATCCAACACTGGCATTGGAGCCATTCTGTCCCAGAGATCCCTATCTACGAAGAAGCTCCATCCCTGTGCTTTCTACTCTCGCAAACTCAACTCCGCAGAGAGGAACTATGACGTGGGAAATCGAGAACTCCTCGCTATGAAAGCTGCGTTAGAGGAGTGGAGACACTGGCTTGAAGGCGCCAAACATCCGTTCACCGTCATCACTGACCATAAAAACCTGGAATATATCCGATCCTGTAAACGTCTGAACCCTAGACAGGCAAGATGGGCTCTGTTCTTCACACGCTTCGACTTTCAAGTCACATACATCCCTGGCTCGAAGAACATTAAGGCAGACGCTCTCTCCCGCCTCTCAGACGATGAAACCTCAGAGAACAGTGATGAGCCCATTCTCAAAAATCCCCTGATTGTCGCTCCCATTCAGTGGGACATCGAGCATGAAATTCTTCAGGCTTCCGAACACAGCTCCACGCCACAGTCCTGTCCGGAAAACAAGATCTTTGTTCCCCCGTCACTTCGTGAGAGACTCATTACCGAGGTACATGACCACCCCAGCTCCGGTCATCCAGGCAGCACTGCCACAGTGCAGTTAATCCAATCCCGCTATTGGTGGCCATCCATAAACAAGGACGTCATCAATTTCATTAACAAATGCTCACCCTGTCAGATGTCCAAACACTCCCGTCACCGTCCAGCTGGACTGCTCCAACCCCTGGAGGTGCCACATCGTCCCTGGTCACACATTGCCATAGATTTCGTCACCGATCTATCTGTATCTCAGGGAAAAACCACCATCCTCACTGTGGTAGACCGATTTTCTAAATCCTGTCGCCTCATCCCCATAGCCAAACTGCCTACAGCCATGGAAACGGCCGAACTGCTCTGCGAATGTGTGTTCCGATATTATGGTCTCCCTGAAGACATCGTGTCGGATCGAGGATCCCAGTTCACCTCTCGACTCTGGTCCGCATTCTTTAAGAACCTTCAAGTAAACGTTAGCCTAACATCCGGCTACCATCCCCAATCCAATGGTCAAACGGAGCGCCTTAACCAGGAGATCGGCAGATTCCTCCGCACCTACTGTCATTCTAACCAGACTGAATGGGCTAAATTTCTTATGTGGGCAGAGTACGCTCAATTCTCTGAGAAAGGCATCAACAGGTCTGACTCCATTTCAATGCGTACTAGGCTTCCAACCTCCTCTCTTCCCCTTGTCCGGCGAAACCACTGAACTCCCCGCTGTAGACACTTGGTTTAAAAGCTGCGAGGAAGTATGGAACGCAGCTCACACCCATCTCTCTCACGCCGTACGGCGTTTCAAGGAACAAGCCGATCGACACCGACGTCCTGGTCCCACGTATTCCCCTGGACAATGGGTATGGCTCTCTACCCGTGACTTACACCTCAGACTACCCTGCAAGAAACTCAGCCCCAGGTACGTGGGTCCTTTCCAAATTGACAAGCAAATATCTCCTGTTTCGTTCCGACTGACACTCCCTAATCATTACCGTATTTCTCCTACTTTCCATGTCTCCTTGCTCAAGCCTGCTGTTGGTCCAGCCTAGGCGGATAGGGAGGTGGCAGCCAGTGAACAGGGTCCCCCGCCTCTCATGATCGATGGTGAGGAGGCATACCAGATCCACGAAATCCTGAGATCCAGACGCCGGGGCGGACAACTCCAATATCTCATCGATTGGGAGGGGTACGGCCCGGAGGAGAGATCTTGGATCAACCGCAAGGACCTTCTTGACTCAACACTACTGGAAGAGTTCCACTTACAACATCCGGATATGCCGGCCCCTCGCCCCTGTGGAAGACCCCGGCGTCGAGACTCGCCTCACTTCAGGAGCCGTTCGTTGGGGGGGGGGCTCTGTCACCGACTCGATCCCAGTCATTCCCCTCGCTGGCCAGCAGAGGCCACCATCTCCGGACTTCTAACATTACGTCATCCCTTCACTCTGATTCCAGCACACCTGTTCTCCATTCCGCTAATGACCCACGTACCATATATAAGCAGCTCACACTCACTTCTCAGTGCGAAGTCTTGTTTAGCCCCGGCCAGCATTTCTGAGCGTTCTATCCTGCCTGATCTCCCGTTTACTACTTCAGCCCGTTTCCTGACTCTGCTCTGTCTTCTGCCTGCCCACGACCAAAGCCTGTTACACGGACTCTGATTCTCGCTGCCTGCCTCAGACCCATGCCTGGTAATCACTCTGTCTGTCATCTGCAACCTCCTCTCATTGATGTGTATGTTGTATGTTCGCACAGCCGTGCGTATTGTTTGATGATAAGTGTGACTTAATAAATACTGCAAATGGATCCCTCCGTGTCAGTCTCCCCGTTACATTAGCTCACCGCACAGCACTGATTTGGATGTTAAAAAAAAATGTAATTTACTTCAGTGGCCGAGACAGCTTAACACGCTATAATTTAAGAAAGCACATGCAATTACAAAAAACTCCAGCAAATAAAGAAACGATCTTTGGCTGTGCGTTTCTTCAGTTGTTTGTGTTGTGACCAATTTGCAACCCATTGTTTATTTTATTTGCATGTACTTTTTTTAAATTGCAGCACGTAAAGCCCTCTCAGTCACCATAATTTACATATACAAAATAGATAAACATATTGAAAATACATCATTTGTTCATATAGACTTAATGTGCAACTTATTATTTTTTTATTTTTTTGTCAGAACCAAATAACCACCAAACTACACATATGAATGCACCTGAAGATGTGGATCTGATGGATCACTCCAGGGTGGAGTAACACATATCCTTATTTATGTCTTTATGATTATTAATCAAATTGAATGTTTGAGGGGCTAGATTATTTGACCTCAGTGTCATTCTTTTTTAGAGTAAAACTGGAATGATAGGTGTGACATTGCTGTTTTTGTGTGCCAAATGATTTGTTTCCTCAGGATCTACAAAGCCTGATCCGAGGTAAGCGAGACCTCTTGAGTGGAACTAAACTCTTGATGAATTGGAAACAACTGGTTCCCGAGTTATTTGCCATTTTTTTGTGTTCTTTTAAAGTAAATTCCTTTGCATGCACTGATTGTACCAGTTTTGAGTCAGTTTTGATAACATGGCTGAGAGTACAAGAAACAGCCTTGAGTAGGAAATAGATTGTACTTTGTGTATGTTCTATTCATTTGTGGATCATATTTACAGCTCTGAATAGCCTTGTGACTGTCAGATTTTTGCTTGCTTGATGGAGAAGTAATCATTAGAGATATTGTTCAGAACTGTATGCACACACACGCATGGAAATTTTCTAAGTCTATCTGTCTATTGGTTCTAACCAATCAGCTTAAAACACCTACAGTATATGTATTGTTTTGAGATTGCAAGTAGAGCAGCTTATGAACTCTGTGCGAGTGTTGAAGCTGGCTTCTGCTTGATGAAAATGCAGCTATCCTCAGTAAACTTTCTTTGAGTGAATCTCTGACTCCGGCTCTTCTTCATCTGTCAGAATCTGGTCATTTTTGGCATTAAACTGTCGGTTCCCCAACACACCCTACACCCCTTTAAATATTTGATGTGACTCTTGTTGGCAAAGTTCATTTGAATAAATCACATTTATTTCAATTTACAGAAGAACATGACAGAGTTCTGTAATATTCTAAAGTCATCCATATATTTTAGTGAAGATAAAACTGCTTTATTCAGTAAAGACAATGCACATGATGGAATGATAATCTCAGACACAAACTTTCTGACCTGCTGCAGTAAAACATCTGACAGTTTCTATCTTAAAGAATGTTTAATCATACTCAAGTAAAAGTATCATTAATTGCCTAAAATTGTAGTGCAAGTAGAGTAAAAGTATCTGTTGTGAATATTACTCAAAGTATGACTAAAAAGTAGCCCTTTAAAAGTACTCAAGAGTATTACTCTGTAAAAAGCTGCATTTACATGTAATTTGTGCATGTGTGTGTAAACGTAACATTCTGTTGTGCATTAGTCATTGCCAAAAATCCAATGTCAAGTCAACATCTTAAACCAACATTATATTGACGTCAAATACTGACATTTATTCATCAGGTACCACAACCAAAATCCATTGTCTGATAGACATTATAATGTTAACGTCCACACAACGGTTGGCTGTAACATTATTAGACACTGATATTGGGTTGGTTTTAGGTTGGATGTTGAAGATTGACATTAACGTGATGTTGGGTTCTGACGTCAACCTGATTTTCATTTCCAAACAAAACAAAACGTCCCCCTGACGTTAGGGTACATTGTCAATTTGACGTCATGTTGATGTCTTGTGCCAGCTGGGTGTTTAAGGCCATTTCAGTCATCATACAGTAAACATCTGTCATCTTCTCATCAGTGACATGCATCTAATCAGTCTCTGGGTCAATGCGTGTAAAGATTTTGGACATCTTGGGCACTTTTAATGCTTTCAAACAGTTTGCTGCAATTATAAATCGCCCATGTCTTGAGGTAGTTAATTTACCTTTGATGTGCGATTTGATTGGACATCACATGACTGATTTTTCTAATCCCCAAAGACAAGAAATAATAAAGTAGTGACTGCAGGTTGAAGGAAGTAGTGGAATAAAAGTACTGATACAGCACTAAAAATGTGCTCAAGGAAATGTAAAGTACACGTTTTTAAGTGAAGTTTATTCATAAATTAATTTCGAGAGGAGCACGTGATTACGATTGAACACGGCTGGTTCTGCATTAGCATGCATGATCCACCAATCAGGCCATTCCTAACCCACAATAAAGAGCCAGAGTTTTTTGCACTACAGTCATCTTTAATTTGAAGAATACACTGCTCTGCATCAGCTGCTACTGCTACAAAACAACAACAACAACTACTACTACTACTACTACTTTTCCAACTACAACTACAACTTCAACAACAATTTCAACAACTTCTTAACCTTCTACTTCAAATTGCCTCACACAATGCAATCTCTCCATCTTCAACCCAATTCTCCAACAAGATCACAGTCAAAACTCGATCACCATCCATGAACTCTGTCTAAACTCTGGATGCCGGCGATCCAAGCTGAACTCTCTTCTAGGGGTGCACCAGCGGTAACGTACATAAAACTTTTTAAAGGGAAGCCTCGCAAACTACAACTAAGATTAAACATTCATCTTTGAAGGATGAATAGCGTGAATAGAACGACTCACCTCTCAATCAAGGGTATAGGCAATACAATCCTTAAAACATCAGTCCACAACTTATTCATACGTTGATAAACATCCATGTTAATTATCCAAACTTGTCGCTGTGGTGCGTTCAATAGAGTAGCGTCTCCAGTCATAACACTAGGGCTGTTTCTCAATTCCAAGAACGCAGAGAACGGACTTGTGTTCTTGTGGAGAGCGGTCTTGCCAGGTGTCCTTGGAAGAACGAACTCGGGAGACCGCGAGGGCAGAGAACGCGTCCTTTGAGAATTGAGATGCTGCGTTCTTCCTGATGGTCACGTGACCTTCATGTGTTTTAAATGGAAATTATTTAAACAATACAGCATTCATACAACGATTTATTGTTTTTCCCCTCTTCAAAATATATACTTTGCATAAAAACATTATAAATATACTCTGCACAATATAAATGAAACACATTTTAATACGAAGTTCAGCAAATAAACACCCTTAATGTATTTGTTCCTATATTAAGATGTTCATGGTTATGTTTACTTTCACCGTTTCCTTTAGAGAAACTCCTGAGGTAAATAAGTGATATCTCTGAACTTTAATAATAAAACTAAACTGCTGCGCTTCCCACCTCCATTCGCAATGACTTCTGGGACTTCCAGAGCTAGTTCGGTGCTTAAGTCTGTATCGTTGCGTCCCTAATATCAAGATCACGTCCGGGAAGTTTAACGTGTCCTCCGTACCTGCGGTCTTGAGTATTGGAACTGAACTTAGGCAGCTGATGATGATGTTGCACGAGAACACGAGGACGCAAGACCGCTGAAGAATGCATATTGAGAAACAGCCTAGTTCTTTGGCAAACAAAATGGCCGCCGGCCTTTTACTGCAACTTTCATAGCCAATAGCTGAAAGGAGAAGCGTCACCATCCAATGAGCTCTAAAAAACTTGAGATAGTCCCGCCCTCTCTCTTGACAAGCTCATGAATGGACCCTGTGTCAAAGACTTTGTGGATGAATTGGATATGCTTGTGATTTTATTACGTTAAGTTTCCAAAGTAATACTATTTCTGGATTAAAGTAAAGCCCATAACTAACATTCCATTCACACAGTTACTACTAAATGGTGACATTAATTGTAAGTTCAGGGTTTGATGTTGGCAGGTGGTAAATAAATAAAGAAAGAAAATAAATAATTATAAAATGTATAAATAATCAAAAAATAAATATAAAATAAATAACTAAATAAAATAAATCAATTAATTTATAAAAAAACCCACACACACTCTGCCACATCCGATAGCAGTTTAACTTCTAAAAAGATTACTCAGCTATTGAAAAACATTCAACGCATTAGGCATAGAAGTCTAATCGTAATATGCCCTAGTGACTCCGGTCCATACACTCATAAGCCATAAGCTTATAATGGCAAGTCGGTTAGATGTGAAAGCGGCAAAGAAACAAAACTTCCCGCTTTGACTACCATGGATGAGAGAAGGACATTTCTGACATGTCTGATGTTTCATCTATTGACTCTGCGTTAGATACATTTTAAGCAATTTCTATATCACCAAGGGGTTTAAACTCCACTATAACTCCACATACTCAGTCTTCATGAGGTACATCAGGACCACCAGACGAGCAGATTTCCCATCAATCTGCCATATGTAGGAGGGACGAATGCCCACCTCTACTATCTTTGTACATTGCGACTATGAGGCTATCGTACCATCCATTAACAAAGGCACTTCCATACACAGTAGCCCATGCTCTTATTAAGACACCCTGCATGGCTATCAGTAAAAAACAATTCATTGTGTTTGCCGTACATGTTCCATGTTGTAATAATATCATTTCTGATTCTCTCTTGTTTTTCTCATTTCAGAGAGCATGTCAGCCGCCTGCAGAAGCTGACCCTCATCCAACCTATTACACTCCACATCCATTTCTAAATATTCACACTCTTTGCAAATGATACTTTTCTACTCACATAGCCCACACCCTTGTTGCCATATTCACACTAGCCTTTTTAATTTTTTATGTCTTCTGAACTAAGTATGACATTTCAATCCAACAATACACCTAACCATATCTGATCTAACTTTGCAGGATGAAGGGATGCAGGATGGTCTCCGCTCCCCCACACACCAATTCTAAACCTCTTAGCATTTTTACACCACAGAAGAGCAATACCACCTCAGGGAAGCCCAGCTGATCCTCTCCAGCCAACTTCCACCATCATGCATTTCTGGGTATAAGAATGACTTTGTCATTTCCTTCCTATTTCCCTTCCTATTAACATAGGAGCTCCTTCACTACCCTTCCCCCGTTTTTTTCTAGCTTTAACTTTTTCCCTCCAAATTTGAACTATCCTATACTTCTATTCACTTTCATTTACCACAGCTCCGACCAATTCAGGGGTTGTCTCGAGTTTCAATTGCTGCAACAGCAATGCTCTAAATGAGCTCACATACACTTACAAATTTTCTAAATACTACTATTGTTACACTCCCCGCACTAATACAGCAGTAAATGCTTCTGCGGGAGCACAAGTTGCCTCAATCCTGACCCACTACACCGCTGCAGCCGCAGAAACGCTCCACCGAGTTGCACACCCATAGCACCACTGCTACCGCAGTGACCCTCTAGCTAAGCCTTATTCACCTTCATCTTTACATATCACTAAAGACAGTATTTAACATTCCTGCGGGAGCACTCAAAACTTTCAAATACTGACTGTTGAGGTGCTCCGCTGAACTATACACACCATTAACACCATTGCAACTGCAGTGACGCTCTAGCTGAGCCCCTTTTTCACTTTCATCTCTACATGTCACTGCTAATAGTACTTAACATTTCTGCGTGAGGCTCCAATACTGAGTATCACTGCACCTCCGTAACAGCAGAGACGCTTTGCCGAGCCTTATTCTCACTCTGCAAAATTAAGCTTTGCCTGAGCTGCAACTGCAGAGATGCCCATTTAGCCTTAATTCTCTGCACCACTGACTTCATTGCACTTCTGTAACTGCAGAGAAGTTCTGCTGAGCTTATTTCCCCCTGCACCATTGCTGCAGCAGTGACGCTCTGCCTGAACAGTCTTCCAGCAACAGATATAAACTCTGTCGTTGGACCTCTAACGCCTTTAAATCCTCAATTTGCCTCAGCCAATATTACCTCAGAGAAGCCAAGCTGATTCTCGGTAGCTGACTTCAACCTAGTTTCCAAGCAGCACGACTCTGTCTGTTCTTCCTACTTTCTGTCTTAGTAGCATAGGACACATTTTTACTAAACTTCCCTTTTCTCTTCCTCT